AGGATGTTCACGGGTCCCAAGTGGGAGGCAGTACTCCCGACGGTGCGAAACCAGAACGAGCAGTCACATAAAGGGGGTATCAGAGTCAAGCCCGTGTGCTTGGTTGTGATCTTTGTGACGCTGGTCATCTTGCAGATCTTGCGGCCGTCAACGCCTTATGGGCTCATGTCAACCACTATCCCAGTAGCCATGCTACGGATGTTCTCAAGGCCTCACTCACATTCGCATCCGGATTCACATACAAACAAATGTTCACCACACGTCGCGGCCTATCCGCTTGTGAACCTCACCACGCCGGACAACTGGGAGAAACCAAATGGCAATTTCAAAGGCTGGGCGCCAGGCCCAGATAATGATATGATCAAAAGCTACCGTAATCGCCGCCCAGAATGGCTCCCCGATACCCTTCCAGACGGGTTCTTTCGATGGGCCAAACCATCTGGAGAGGAACAAAATGCTACATCGAGCACGGCGGAGTGCAACAAGACTGTCTCGACTACATACTACTACAACCCTGTTGCGGATCCCATGCGCATCACTAACCTAGATCTTGGGGTATACAAGGACCTGGAAGAGGTATTCCGGAATGAATCCGTCCTCATCTCGCATGTGTTGCTGATCACCATGGAAAGTGCACGCAAAGACATGTTCCCTATGCAGGAAGGCTCATTCGTGCATAAGGCTATCATCGACTCTAATGAAGAGGAAGAACAAAAGGAGAAGAACAAGCTACTTTCACAGTTGACACCGGTTGCCCATCAGATTACTGGCGAGGGTTTCTGGAATAAACTCAGGCCAAATCAGTCTGCATTTGGAATCCCAGACGGCATATGGAAAGATTCCGCAGCTCCGGGAATGGGGGGCCTCAACATCAAGGGTGCCGTGACTGGAAGCACCTTGTCTGCCAAAAGCTTCCTAGGCAGCCACTGTGGAGTCCATCCGCTGCCGGTTGATTTCCTGGAAGAGGTGACCACGAACGTCTACCAGCCATGCATTCCTCATATATTGAATCTGTTCAACCAGGCCAAGGAAGGCCACGAGGAGAGAGCAGCGGGCAATCACAGCGCACCCAATAAAGTGCCCCATGTCAAGAAGCGCAAATGGAGATCCAGGTTCATACAGGCGGCCACAGATGGGTATGATAGGCAGGGCCGGTTAAACAGGCAGCTCGGGCTGTCGGACTTTATTGTCAAGGAGACTTTGACGGATCCAACGTCAAAGTACTACCCTCCCAAGCACGCTGAGCTCAACTATTTCGGGTAAGCCCCTTTCTGTCCTTTTTCGTAGTAGGTGGTAATGATTGAAGCTGGCTTTAACACTTGCCCACTCTAGATACCCTGATGAAGAAATGAAGCCATGTATCAGCGATACCATTGACGAGGCTTTGGAAAAAAACGAACGGCTCTTCCTCTCACACTTCACCAGTACCACTCACCATCCATGGAAGGTCCCTTATGAATTTAACCGCGAGAAATACACTGGCTCCAAGGGAAACGCAGACCATGAAAATATGAATAAGTATCTAAACACCTTGCGATACGACGATGCCTGGCTGGGCCAGATATTGGGTTTGCTTGACGAAAAGGGTATTGCCAACGAGACTTTGGTTGTCGTCCTGGGAGACCAGTAAGTTCCTTTTTTTTTTCTCGACATTGTGCAAAGACGAAATGCTAACTGGTGATATTGCAGCGGACAAGCATTCGAAGAAGATTCTCCTGTCCAAGGCACTTATCAGAACGGTCACATCAGCAATTTCCGGGTCCCTATCGTCTTCCGCCATCCGCTTCTTCCTCGTATCAACATCGAGGCCAACGCAACCTCGATGAGCGTTCTTCCTACGATCCTCGACCTTCTCGTGAACTCCAATTCACTCGATGCCCATGATACTTCTATCGCCGAAGACCTTATCCACGACTACCAGGGACAGTCTCTTATCCGTCCCTTCAGGTCAGAGTACAAAGGGCGCCAGGCGTGGAACATTGCCGTCATCAACGCAGGCGGGAAGATGATCTCCGTATCGTCTGCATCAACACCATGGCGAGTTGTGGTCCCGCTCGACGGCGAGTCGCAGTATATCTTCAGCGACCTCCGCACCGATCCGAACGAGCTCGACACCCTTACTGGCTGGAAAATCGACCATCTGCTCCCCGCCGTGAAAACTAAACACGGCGCAGCTGCGAGACAGTGGCTCAAGGAGGCCGATGAGGTTACCAGCTGGTGGGTGAAGGAGATGCATCATCTCTGGAATTACAGCAAAGACTCGAGCAGCTAGTAGTTAGTCAGTCAGCCGGTCAAGCTGAGGATGAGCGTTTGATCTTCGAACGGCTGTAACCCCCACAGCCAGAGTACCAAAAAAAAAAAAAAAAATATACCCCTGACGAAGAGGATGAGGGCCCCATTCTCTGGCCCATACTTAGTACTTTGCACGGAGTACAACCTCATTTCAGTCCGATGAGATTCACGAAAACGATAACGAATGCCCTTTTGAAAACGATTCCCTCCATATGTCTGAGGCTGAGAATATTTTCTCGATCTCACCACCGTTTTAATCTAGGATGCTTCTTCCGAGACCTGCGTGCATTCAGGGGGAAAGGATGAACTGCACCACCACGTATCATCTCGATCGTCCCCATGTCTCAGCATATCCCTACATAAGTACTTGATGACATGGATGTTATCTTTTTCTTTTTCCTTTTCTTTTTATTCTAAACTTAGCATCGGCGTTGAATCCTTGGTTATAAGAGGCCACGGCGTTATTTTTCTTCTTCCTACCCGTTTCTCATCTCCCTTATTTACAGGTTGAAATGGTTTATGATACACAAAGCTGTAGACGCCTTCTTCTTTTTCTTCTTCTTCTTCTTTTTTTTAAAAAAATTTCTTCTTTTCAGATCGATTTATGCGGGAGTTCCGGCGGCATCATCATTACTTGAATAATACTGGTTGTTTTTTATGCTATTTTGATAACTAGAGACGGGAACTTATGTACTAGATAGCTAGCAGCCACGGCAGAGACAGCCAGGGCGCATGCACGGCAGTGACAAAAAGAAAATGTAACAAATATCATCATATTAATAACTAGTTGGCCGCTGTTTGACTGTCGAAAATTAAGACTTCGCTGCAAATCCACCGTAGGGGCCGTCGTTTCATCGACGCATGTCGTGCTGAAAAGCCGCCGAGTCGCTTGCTCTCTCTCTCTTCTCTCTCTATATCTCTTTCTCTCTGACTTTACGATTAATCAGTCGGAGCGATTTGAAATTTTTCTCGAAATCCATCCAACTCTGCGCCGCGGGATGGCCTGCAGCCACGGGCCGGACCAGCCAGCCAGCCTAGCAGGTTACGGGACACGTCTCCTGCAGCTGACAAGACGATGAGCAGCTCGGCGCCATCCAGCAGCAAGCAAGTTGCAAGTGAGCGGCGGGATGGATGGATGGATGGATGGAGATGATTCAGGCCAGCGCGGCGTCGACGAACCAACGCGACGTCGAGCAAGCAAAGTAGCAACGTCAACCCTTTTACGTGATAGCCCTCTGCTGACTGGAGACGGCTATAGACTGAGGACCCTTATAAGCCGATCCCTGGCAGCCGTGATTACTATTCTACATCCGTACACCAAGTCCGTGTGCGTCTGCATCCTCGGAGATGCAAGGCAACGTCCGTCATCAGAGCTGTGTCGTGCATAATCGCTTAGGCCAGCTGAACAATGGCCCAGCAGCCCTTGACAGGGACCCCGTCTGATGGGCCTGGAAAAGAAAAGAGAATGGAAAAATAATACCCTACTGGTTAACCTATGGCATGGCCTACGACAGAGTACCCTCTTTTTCTCCTGTCTGTTCGACTCAACAGAACCGCAGGACGGAGTACTCGAGCGAGACATGAATGCTGTGTTCATGTTCTCCAGCAGATTGGAAGGTTTCTTGAGCCTCACGCTGAAGGCAGGGGTCTCTGCTACCATCAGATCCTTCGAGCTGACAGGAGGGATGTGAGAAACTTGAAGGGGGGAGAGGAGGGGGGGGGCCCCTGTTCCCCCCCCCGGTCGGCAGTTATTCGTGAGGTGTCCATGCCATGCCATGCCACTGCTCGTGGTCCCTTGCTTTTATCGGTCCGGCCTTGTCTGGTGTCTATATACTCACATATATTCATCATCGACCTATTATTTTTTACTTTCTTGTTTCCTCAGCCCCCTGGTTTGACCAGAGAATAAGCCTTGCAGATGGCTGTGAGCCACTGCAGGCATCGAACCTGTATGGATGTGTCCATATTTCCCAACAGCAGCGCCCAACTGGCCACCGCGAGCTGCACGATGATGGCAGGTGGAGCCGGATTACATCTCCCGTAGTCCAATGGGACTTCAGGCCGTAGCGCAAATTTGCTTCCCGGGGACAGGGTTTTTGATTATTATACCTGTGTTTTCTGGTGCAAAAGTATGGAGTCAGGTTGAATGGAGCAAAAAGGGAACAGAAGCGAGTTACTAATCGCATTCTGCAAGCTGCAAAAGCAGGCTTCCATGATTGTCTCTCATACGCGCTATCTCTGGCTCTGGACTTCTTTCCATGGTAAGAGGCTTTGGCAGCTTGCATTCGCTACGGTACGAATTCAATTAGATCCCGTCCGCACATCCCACTTATCCCCCCTCCCGTTCAGCAAGCAAATATAGAGAGGAAAAAGACCCGAAAATCAGGCTGAAGATGACGCTCATCCTCTCTCTAATCGACTATCTGTCTCAGTATATAGCATTTGAATTAATCTGACAAGGTTCGAGACCACAGTCCCATTTTCCTTTTGGCTTATTTTTGTTCCTGTTGTGCCCAGTTATTCCGATCTCGAGATATACCCGGCATATGACCCTTTAGCTCCTGTCGGTATTGCCAAATCCACTGCTCAAAAGCCGGGCTAGCTGCAGCCTTTAATGGGACGTTGATCATTCGGACTCTTTCCCCTTCACCTCCCAATTTTCTTCTTTTCTTTTCTTTCGCAAATGCGGCTTCTCGCGCCGTTAGACCATGACCGTTCCGCCAACGAATAGCACCAACAATATCAATGGCTCGCTGGCCCGAATGTCTACCTCTGATACTTCTATCCCTACCTCAGTCAATGCTGCTGAGCTACTTGCCCACGGGGAGCCTTTCATTGAATTCCCCCGATATTCGATACTCGATATAAAGGAGGCCGCCTTCGCATATGAAAAGCCGGACGAAAAGGGTGCACCATCTCACCCAAATGCGCCAGGGAAGAATACTGGGCAGTTAGGGAAAGATACTACAGACTATTTTTCTGGCTGGCTTTCAGCAAGATTGCAAGACGGCAAGCCGTTTGTGATACAAGATTTTAATAAACTACCTGAATGGAATAAGAGGCTGTTCTCCCTTGAAGGCTTAATTGAACACTCTACAAAGAAAAGTAATTTCCCCTACCATTGTTCTGCGACACTGATTTTATTAGAGTATTTCTGCTAACCAGCTCGACTATCCACCAGATATTCCTATTCGGAACTGCAGCACCAACAGAGATCTCAGCTTCACCCTTAAGAAATTCGCCGATGCATCTCGACAATCTTACCGGGAGTTTAAAAACCTCTACGCTCGAGACCTGCGTTGCCCGGATTCCTGGTTAGAGCAATGTAGGAGATTACTCCCTCCTGAGGTTCAATGGAGTGGCAGGCTGGACCTGTTCCAATGGCTGCCATCATGCGCTCGCAGCGAGGTGATGATGGCCTACGTTGGCTCCGAAGGCTCCTCGTTAGTATTTTACCTCTAAACTTGGATATACTATTTTTCTCCCTGTAGTTCCCCTACTGATTTCGATCACAGATCTGGCTTCCACCGATGCTTTTCCTCGACAGTCGCGTTGAATTTGCTGGTCGACCATGGTGGTAAAGATTGCCCTCCCCATTGTTCTATTGACCAATTTCTCGGTAACACCAGCAGCCTTGAGCTAACACTTATTGGTATTACGGGCCTAGATCGGCCGGTTCTCTGCTTTGGAACTGATTTCAGCTCGCAACAAAAATACGATAACTTCATGGCGGCTCGTGGTGCGTCACCCCACGTCGACTGGCTGAATCTGGGACCAGAGGATCTCAAGAAAGCAAATTTTCCTGTCTACATCTGCGAACAATGGCCTGGAGACCTTGCTGTCTTTCCTCCTGCAACAGCACACCAGGTTTGGAATCTTGGGAAAGTTTCAACGAAAGTGGTGTGGAACATCTTACATCCTCTATCCCTGGATGCCGGCCTACACTATGTCCAGCCTCCTTTCAACCGTCTATGCCATCCGGATGTCGCTCGATCGAATCTCTCACTGGCCTGCGCCATGCTGAGTCTGCTTCGTGATGATCAACATGCAATTATTCCTCCAGATCTACCCCTGCTGACAAGACTCTTCAATCAAATGGCAAAGGATGAGACAATCGACGGCAGTCCTGCGACAGCAGTTACGCTTGTCCCTATACCCGAGACAGCCATAGCAACCTGCAATTTTTGTGGTACCGCTATCTGGAACCGTCATCTACGCTGCAACCAATGCCTGGATTTTGACCTCTGTCTCATGTGTTATCTGAGCGGTCGCAGCTGCGAGCACCCTTCAAGCTATTCATGGGCTGAGATTGTTCCGCAAGATATATGCTCGCGTGTTGTACAAAGAGCAGAATCTATACTTGGATACAACATAAGCCAATCCTCTGAAGGATCCCGTATTCCGGATCAACGCAAAACCTTAGGTACGGCGGTAAACGAATTGATGCTTGCTAGACAGAGCATGGCAGTGAAACTGTGCCACCTATGTCGGAGCGATCATCTCGAATGGAAAGGCAGACGTTGTGATAAGTGTTCTGCCTTTTTTTGCTACCGGGGACTGTACCGTCACTTTGATATGGCATCTGCAGATGTCATGCGCCACCCCGGACTATGGATATGTCCAAAATGCTTGGAGAGTTGTAACTGTCGAGTAAGAAAGACACCCCTTTCCTTTCTTTTTTTCCTCCCGTTTTGTGTCTCCCCAATTCCTGCACCGCTACTGGGGCATCAGGCTGGACAGGTTTCGTCAGAGAACTGCCTAACTATGGTCTGGTTGGTATCAAAATCATACAAAGCATAAACTAACACACCCTTTCCCCTAGTGCTGCCATTTCGTTTCCCCTTACGTCAAAGCTGAAAAGCCCGCGTCAAAACGCAGAGTTCGGCCTGGAGATCCGCGGGGGAAAAATATGGGGTTTACAGACAATGTGTTTGACCAAAAAAAGGTAAGTAATCGTCTTCCATAGAGGCTCCGCGAAAGTTGTGGCTGATCAGGGCAATACCTGCACAGCGAAATACGCCAGCCCTTCCAGCATCACCTGCATTCACATCGCCACCCGCTGTCAGACATCCCAAACGACCCCTCTCATCATGCTCGACAGTTCAGCCATCTCCCATATCCGCACCGCCCCGCCGTGCTACTGCTTCTGCCATAACCCTTCCTGCACTCTCAACCCCTGAATTGGCCGACTTATCTCTCCTTCATGGAAGAAGGGACTCTACCATCGAGGCAGTTTCGGATGGCTCATCCCTTGACCGATTTAAGATGAGAAGAACATCAGTTATTTCTCGTGATACCACCCCAAAGCCCTGCTCTGATATACCTCCTGGCAAGACACTTCTTGGGATAAACTACATAACGCAGACGGCTTCAACCAGTGACGACCAACTATCTCTCCCCCCTCTCAAGGGTGGTGGTTCCTACTCCAGCGGGCCTATAAGTATGACCTCACCCTCTACCATGTCCCGCAAATCGATGTCAAATGATGGTGGGATGGCCACTCTAGCTACTATTGCAAGCACTAGGGAATTAGAGCCCTCCTCACTCCCAAGTAGCACTGCCATCGGACACGTATCTCGGTATGACAGGGACTCTAGGAGCGATAGCAACAGTGACACCATGGCTTTGATGACACAGCCTGAGGCACATCATCAGCCCCAACCATATAGCCAGCATCAATACCAGGCAAATAATACGCAGCCGCACCACTTCCCCCCTTCATTTGGGGTTTTCCCTAACTCCAGACAACAGCCAACGACTGAGCACTACCCTAGCGCCCCAAGCAATACGCTTCTCAGTGGACCCCTAGCCACATCGACCTCAACTCCCCGTTCAACGTCACTGACATTACCAGCCAACCCGAACGCGTTAACTACGAACACTATCCCCGCACTTGAGACACAGCTTACTCGCCTCCGCCAGTATTCTGAAGAAGTCCTTTCACTATCCCTGTACGACTCTCATCGACTTCTCCAGGATGAGATACAACGACTAGAGGGTACTTTATTACTAGCCAAAAAGGACCGAAGTGAACGGGTCCTTCGCAATTTGGAAGTGGAATTCCCAGCACTGAGAAATATCCACGAAGGACTCAAACGAGAGGCCGCACGACTTGGTTACCTTTAACCAAGAATCGAAACAATCATGCAATATTCTTTCATACCGGTCACGAATGAATGTGACTACAGACTTGTCTCTATTACTATTTCTTTTGCTATGCGATAATGACTGGACCACGATAGATATGGATGGAAGGAATGGGATGGATTGGATTTATAAACTCATGTGCTACATTTACAATCATGGATTGACGGCTGGACTATACTAACTGGATTTCTCTTTTCCCTCTTTTGTTGTTTTCCTTACGCCCTTCTTTTTCTACGACTCGGCTCTTGTTCTATAATCTTGTTCTCACTTTCTTTTGTTCGTTCTGAACAGTGGACTGCCGGGTGCTGTCTTTCGCCTGTTTTAGCTACCGCGGCGCGATGCTTTCTTCTTGATGAACATGGCCATGGTTAAGTTATTTGTTATGATAGACATTGTTCTTGTGTGCTGCTGCTATATACCATAGAGTCCTTTCGTTCGTCCCCCTCGTTCAAGAGCCGTCAAGGAAGTGATGATAGAACTAGATACTTAGATAAAACGCAAATAAGGCATTTTGTCAGTGCCGAGGCTTGAATTGAGTTGCCGAAGATCAACAACACGAAATGCCGACAGGAACAAGAACCGGCGACGTCGCTCTCGTGCTCCGAACGGCAAAACAGACAGCAATCGCTGAAGCTTGGCTTAGGGACAAATCTACTACTCTTACACTGAAAATCGGCAAATAGCTAATTCCATTGGCGATGCTTTGGCCTAAACGAGGTGTCCTTCGCCCAGTCTCAGCGACTACCTGCCTTGTCCATGTGTTCCCAGCGTCGAGACATAATACCCGGTATCTCGCTCGACCGCACTCTACAGATGCGCAAGGAGACACTGCAGCAGACATAGCTGGCAAATTTATGGCCAAGTTCCAAGCCATCGGGCCTCATAAGCGGACGCAGGTCCTGGACGCAAATCAACTACAGCTTCTCTCTCTAACGCTGAACAAGAACCACTTATATCCAAGATATCCTCCGCTATCTTTCCCTCCCTCTCAAGCAGCAAACCAGAGTTCATCAGCGCCAGCTATGGGGACTCCAGTTCCACCAGGCTATCATCTGGTCTATTTTACTCCCCAGTTTTTAGAGGAGCATCTAGGGCCTGATGGGACCGACGTATCATACAACCCAGACCCTCCTTTTACAAGAAGGATGTGGGCTGGCGGAGAGATGATATGGCCGCGGGATAAAGGCGATAAACGGCCAAATCTGCTCAGGGTTGGCCAAATAGTGACCGAGACAACCAAGCTTCTAAGCGCAGAACCAAAGATTATCAAGAAAACCGGAGATGAGATGGTTGTTGTTGGTGTGGAAAAGACCTTTGAGAATGAAAATGGAGTTGCTTTGATAGATAGACGGTAAGTTTCCGGTTGTGGCGCCTACGATCGAGGAGCGTGTGTACTTGGGGCGTGACGGCTAATTGACATACTCCAGCAATTGGGTATTCCGCAAAGCTCTCAAGGCCTCATCTCCAGGGAACACACCCTCGAGGCAGATACCCCCTGAAGCTAACACTTTAAATTCACCGGAATCCCCTATTCCTACAACTTCAACAAACAATGTTTACACTCTTAGCTTGAAACAGTCACCAGTGACCTTATTTCGGTTTTCTGCGCTTACATTCAATCCGCACAAGATACATTACTCAATGCCTTGGGCACAAGACGTTGAAGGGCATAGAAACATAGTGGTCCACGGACCATTGAACTTGATATCCATGCTCGATTTTTGGAGAGAGACACGAAATAGGGATGATAAGGACCCAGAATTAATCATTCCAGAACGCATCAAGTACAGGGCAACACATCCTTTATATGCTGATGAGGAATATCACATAGTTCTTGAAGATACACTGGAGAGCGCAAAAATCAATATATATAATTTTGAGGGCAAAGTCAGCATGAACGCGGAAATCATTGAGTAATGCGTCTTGTTAGCCTTGACTATAGACTTTCACATATGGAGATCAATATGAATATTATTGTATGTGCTGTAGTTCCAACGTCCCTTTTATTTGATGGCCCATCGTTGGTCTTGTTAGTTTGCATGTTCGTATACCTATCGCGAACTGCCAGCACTAACTAACTAAATTTGAACTTCCAACACTCACCTTCAAACGCTGGCAACTGTGGCATAACAATCAACAGGTAATGCCGGCACACCTATACAATTGACCACGATTTAATGCTAATTATTTCTGTTTTGATATTTAGAAATTTACCCGGGCTACCTGTTGTGCACCAATCCCGAAGTTATGCGGGTAGCTCCTCTCACGCCGCTGCTGAGAACGGCCGCCAGGTCGCAATGCACGACCTTCTCAGCCAGACCGACAATAATATCCCAGAAGAGACGATTCAACCTCCCTTCGCTATCCTCACTTGCACCGCAATTTTCTGCGCCCGAACCACGCAGCCTTTCAGCGACCCGTACGCTTCCATTCGGGCCATCGCCTCTTTTCCAAACAATCTCCTCCATCGATGCCTACAAAGATTTCCTTCCCTTCCTTACAGAGTCAAAAGTGACTGCTCATGACCCCGAAACCGGCTATCCTACGCGCGCATATCTAACGATTGGATATGGGCCACTTAGTGAAACTTTTGAGTCAAAAGTTGAGTGTGATGAGACGAAGTGGTTTGTGGGAGCTAGGAGCGGCGATATCGCTCTACAACACAAGCAACCAGGCAGTAACGCTAAGGGGGAGTGCATATTTGAGCATTTGGACACTATTTGGAAATTGGAGCCATTAAAATCGAACTCGAATGGTGGTGAGAGGACCAAAGTCGATTTGACTGTTCGCTTTCAATTCCGGAGCCCTCTGCATGCAGCTATGATGACCGCAGTTGAGAGCCAAATGGCCGGGTTGATGATTGAAGCATTTGAAAAGCGGATGATTGAAGGTGGACGGAGGTGAAACTGAAGGATCTATATACATATATATCTTCGCTTGGGTCGCATGTGGGAGTTTGTTTTTATTTGGGCATTAGACTATTTAGATATCATAGCAACTGGGTGGACATGGGAGTCCAGAGGGTAGAGAAGTATATATCCGTTTTCTAGTGTTAAATAAAAGAACAGGTGTATAATACATGATAGAAAGCATCCAAAGAACTCCATCAATAGCGTGACCCGAACGGCTTCTGTTTCCTACTCGTGTCAAATGATGACTCCGGCCCGGCTTGCTTATAATTCTGAGCAACTTCTTCCCAGTTAATCCTATCCCACCATGCCTCTAGATATCCGGCTTTTCCGCCAATTCCCCAGTCTCTTAGCCATACGTGCTCCCAAGTGTTAACGCAGAGAATGGGGTGAATATCAGCGCCGCCAGGAGCGAGGTATTTCTGTTGTGCGAAGGGTCCCATGGAACCATATGTTCGGGATGCAATTCTTCCAACAGCCTCTATGTTCTCGCCGCCAGTTATTCCGGTAGTCTGAGTGGCCATGTCTACTGGCTGACGTCGGAAATGTGCTTGAGGATATGGGGAGCCGGCAATATAGGTTGCTAGGATCTTCAATTGGGCAGTATCTTTCATCTTCACTAGCCAAACGAATCCAGGTCCGAACATGGCATTGGCAGTCGCAATGAATTCTTCTTTAAGAGATTCGACAGAGGAGCATGATTCAGTGATAGCTTCTTCGAGTTTTCCTGGGATTGGGACGGTTTCAGGTGACTGTATTTTGCAATCGCGTTAGAGTCGAGCTCCAAAATAACAGAAAAAATCGACCAGGTAGAAATGGTAACCCACTAGACAATTGAAATAGAAATGGTTGTTGTGCGCCATGGAGGCGTAGTTGAAGAGGGAAGCCATGCTGGCCTGGCGAGCGTATTTGATCAAAAGGGTTCCTGGTCCGACATTCTCATCCGCAGTACCTTTAAGTCATGATTAGCTTCCACAATCAAAGCTGCCATACCCCATCTATAGCTACGAGTACTAGCCACCAAGTACTAACCTCCGGTGAGCATATTGAGTTTCTGCACGAGGTACGATTGATATTGTACCCATGCAAGGTTGTAACCCTCTGGAGAGAGGACTCCCGGTACGCCATGTTCTTGGAAATGGGTGCCGTGTGTTAATTGAGGGACACGATGGAAAGATCTGCTCTGGACCTGGGGCCGTAGGGTGCACTATATATCCGCATTAGTTAGCAGATGCTCAAGTTTCAATGCAATGCAACCTAGAGGAAAATGGCTGGACAAACCCGGGTTGCAGAGGCCAGCAGACCAGCCTGCTGCCGTATTGACCGTTGGAAAAGCATGACTAGCCGTCCTCCCCCGTAAAGCACTCTCAATTGAAACCAAAGCCGGCGTATCGACGATCGCAACAACAACAACAACCAAAACGCTGCCTTTTCGACCTTTTTTACTTGCCTGACCTTCTTTCCTTTTTGGGAACTTTTTTGAAGAAATGCGCCCGGAATGCGGAAAAACATTTCTCCAAAGTTAGCGCCGGCCGGAGCAAGCTTCAGCCAATCAGAGCGCGAGGAGCACTTGACTTCGCGACAACTCGAGACGTCCAAGCAAGCAAAATAGCAACAGCCAGCGCGAGACGGAGAGCTGCAGGCCAACCATCGACGATGGAGCCGGCGGACATGGAACTCGATGCTCTCCCGTTCTCTGCTGGTCTCCCCCGGGGCCGAGCTCGTTGCGGTCATACGAAGAAAGTTTCAACTTCGCGCCGGCCGGTGTGACCTACTGGCAGGCATACTTGCATAGTCCACTTCTTCAGGGCGCCAGGGGGCGGAGGAAGGGCTCGAAAAGAGTCAACCTCTAGCCGCCCGCCATCAAAAGACCATGGACAGACCCTTGATGAAGATTCTAAAAGGGCCCAATTCTGGCGAGAGTTCAGCTAGGGGCTATAGCCATATAACTCCCGGAACTCCCCTCCTTTATTGTCCTTTTTTGAATTGTTCCTGCTGTTTCCTTCTCACTATATACCCCTTCATTCATGAGCCCTGTCTTTAGAGATCTTCATATATAAGCTGTCTATATCCTTTTAATTATTCTAGTTCTGCTGGTACAGAACTCACTGCCTCGCCGTGTTCATTCTTTATGTTTCCGTTGGCAATATTTAATATATCTTTACCACTCAAAATATCTCATTAAATCTTCGATATTTGAACCCGCTTCTTTGCGATGGTGAAATCACTATTCGTTACGCTCTACCTTTCCTTATTATACTACTGCGGTACAGCTAGCAGTTTAAAATTAGGCTCGGTGCCTGGTCTTTTCCCTCGGGAACAGATATGTGCAAAGTCAGGCTTCGTACAATGTGGAAATCCTAATGTCCCCAAGAACTTCTGCTGTTCAGAAAATTCCGACTGCTTGGTTATAGACAATGCAAGCACAGTTATCTGCTGCCCCAGGGGATCTGACTGCAAGACCATCCGGCCAATTACGTGTGACGTTCAACTGCAAAACGTCGCGGTAGACCCAGGAAGCTCCATCAAAACCACAAAGTTGACGGGAGATCTACCAAAATGCGGGAGCATGTGCTGCCCACATGGATATGCTTGCCAGGATCGGAGCTGTGTGCTCGTTAATGCATCCTCAGAGCCCGTTCGATCTCCGGAGCCCGCCCCGTCAGCCTCGATATCCATTTCTCCAACAACCCCTCCGTCCTCTACATCTAAACCCACATCAACAGAGGCACCAGCGACTTCCCCCGCTGCAGAGCAAAAATGCAATAATTTCCCACCTGGCGCGATCGCGGCGGGCTTCGTTCCAGGAATCGTCTGTGGAATTATTATCAGCGTGATATTCAGTTGCCTAAGGAGAAAGTCAGCCAAAAAATCCCAAGCCTTGCATCCTGACGCCGGAAATTATCGACAAAAGTCCGTGGACGGTACTATGATCTCGATATCAGACCCCATGCCGTCCAGTGCACAAGATTCCTTTAGGACCGACTTCCTACGGCAACAGGCAAGCTACTACGAGTCTGAAAATAACAATAACCGTCGGTCACGCATTCAACGTACAAGTGATCGAGTCAGGAGTCTCTTTGCTCCAAAGTTCTCCGTCATAACGGACCCGCCGCCTCCAGATGTTCCGCCAATGTCAGTGACACCACAGAACAGGGCATTTCCGCAACGATCGTCCAGCACCGAAAGCATCAAGGTGTACAGCCCTGTATACCTGGGAAATGAGAATCGATTGAAGCCTCCAATAGGCTTGACTGCATCCGGAAGACCGCCAACCACCTTCACCGAAATGATGGAGCGGGTTGGGTTTCAAAATGGCCGAGGAAGTCCTTGCTACCCCGTTTCGAGTACGCCGCCACCACCAATCTCGAAATCTTCTACAGGAAGTCCATTAAAGCAAATATAGCTAGGAACTAGTCCCTTTTGATCCTGAGAAGGAGTATTTGGTGAAGCGCAGTTCAAAATTACATAGGTTCCCATATCACGTTATGGGTCTCTGCTGTATATATTCATTTTAATTTTGGTTTATAAACCATGACATATCTAAAGCTCGAGTTAGGAATTTAACAAGTGTTTCTTAGAATCTTATATTAGTTATGTACTATTTACCATACGGGAGCCGTATATATTTGGGTATCCGAATCACAACCTCGATGTCTTAACCAAGTAACATTCTCTTTATCTCCTTAATCAGCCCTAGGACCAACGGAACACCGATTGGTCCTAAAAGTGGAAGATACACAGCTACTTTATGCTCGTCTGGGAAATACACCTGACCAACCATACTTTTCTCAAAAAAGCTGCGTTCAGCTTCCTTTTCAGCAACTCTAGCGTGAGCAAGGGCTGATTCGAAGGCACCTTGGTGTAGCATTTCACAGGTAGATGAAAGGTGGGATAGCGTGTGAGAGACAGAATTTGCGACTGTGACGGGGATGGGTATAGAGGGGAGTGAGAGCGTAAGGCGCGCAAGGGAGCCCATTGTAGATGACGCCGACAAGAGGAGCGATGCGGTATGGATCCGGATCAGGCTTTGAAGACGTAGTGGTAAAGATGGTGGTGAGGTAGGAGTGCCGAGAAGTGTAAGGAGTTGGTGTGAAAACGTGTCCATGGCGGGTTTTAAGGCCTCGCGGGAAAGGTGAGGTGGGTGTTGCAGTTCTGAGACGTTGGATAATGGAGGATTTAGGATGACTACCCCTCCCCACTGAGGGATAAGCCAGCTTGTGGCAGCATTCTCTTTAACCACGAGTGGTGATTGTGCTGGTGATGGAACGTAAAGGATAAAGTTGATGGTTGGCCCACCGCCTATACTTGGATTGAGAGGCCATTCCGCCGCGTTAATGAATCCGCTCAAATCATCCTGCTTAAGGGTCCAAGCAGTTTTACTCTCATCATATTCAGGAGGCGTTGCGGTTGGTGAGAATTTAGCGTAGACTTGCACTTGGGTATCAACCGAGAAATTGCTAATGGGAGAAAACACATTGAGCAGAGGGGATAGATATTCTTTCAAAGCTGGCTCAATGTCCCAAGCTGACGGGGCAGGGCCCGGTGTGAAGAGAGAAAAGCTTAGATGGTAAGTTTCTGCATATTTAAACGATTTCTTCACACGACTAGCAATGGATTCAAGCAATAGTGGCTGTATCGCAGGGCTGAGAACATTCGCCCTCTGGTCCTTGTTGACTGCCCCTTGTGCTGCATGCTTTGAAGACATGGCCGCACTATTGCTCTGCGAGAGGATATACTCCAGTGTAGCCTTCTCCTCATTGAATAACGTACGTAGCTCGTTTGCAATGAACGTTGTAAGAGGTGAATGGGAGGTGGTTTGCGGCTGTCCCTGGCTAGATGGATAAAAAATATCCAATCGCTCGGAGTAAGGGTGTAGATCGGAGGAGATCGCAGTAATATTAGCACGGGGTATAAGCCGTAGGACTAAAGCACGTTCCCCAACAGCTTCGTTGACAGTACCAGTCTCAGTACTTGGGTTTTCCTTGGTTTTCACAAGTCGTAGGCGGAGATGGTGCGCAGAAAAGTCGTTCAGGTCATCAAGAGCATGCTGCGCTGCTTGAACCAACGACTCGGCTTCATGGATGTTCAACCCAGGAGTGTGGACATGTATATGTAACGGAAAAACGGGCCTACAAGACTGTATTACTTGGATATCAATAACTGGTCTCGGTGGATCAAAATATCAAGGGGGGGGTTTGATAGCTAACCTTTCCTGCGGCCCAATTCTCCATCTCATTGAGCGGGAGCTTAGCCCTATAGATAGACGTTGTTTTCCACCACATAGGCAACCCGAGAAGTAGTATGATTAGCCAGAAAGTGAGTACAATGAGGGATCTCCTGCGAACGGTCTCTGGTTTCTCTGGCGGTGCACTGCGATGAACAGCAGATGCAGGTGCCATCTCATCAACCGGGCCCAAACTTGAGCCTGGGCTGCTCGGGGAGTCAGGCCGCGCAGCAGGGGACTTAGCCCGCGTCGAATCTTCCTTGACCATGGTCAGCTCATGTTTGACCAGGCTATTAGCTATCAAGGGGCAGAGAAGGTCGAGATGTTGGAGTTTGGATGGACGACGGAGCTACTGGACTGGCAGTGCTGACTAAGGCATGCCCTCCCTCGCTCGCGACACAAAAAGCGAAGAAATGCCAACGCTGCAGAAGAAGAGAACGGGGGAAAGGGACGCTGACAGACTACGAAGATGTTTAGAGGGCTATATGGCAGATTTTAATATGTATAGTTGTAACAGAAGTCCGGGAGTGAAGGCCTTTGAACTGCTCGCCCGTAGATCTATAACTACGCGGCTTGGCGGGAATAACTATTTGAATATCTGGTCAGTTAGCTAGTTGCGCATCCAAGTTACAGCTCAACAATATTGCGAAAAAAACACAGAAAGGAAACCAGCTGGATCAATTGGACTGGAAACACACCAGCTTAGAATGCAGTGACAATATAACCGCCTTAATCCCGCCTTTTCTCTCTCGCGTGCACTATATCCAGCACTGTGGCCGAAATGTTCGACACCGTTTGCAGTTACCCCCTACCGGCGGATATATTCACCCAGGCCATTCATCCTACAGAGCCAATTGTCTCTGTAGGCCTTTCTTCTGGCCATGTTGAGACCTTCAAGCTACCTGCCGAACATGAGCCTGAGCCAGGGGAGAAGAAGAAAAATGGGCTAGGGCATATCGACACCGTTTGGCAGACAAGGAGACACAAAGGCAGCTGCCGGAGCTTGACATTTGGCATTGATGGAGATATACTCTACTCCGCTGGCACAGATGGCTGGGTAAAGGCCGCGAATTCAGAGACTGGTCGGGTCGTGACCAAATTTGCGGTCCCAATGCCTAGGGATAAGTACGGGGCATGTCCTGGTATATGTGCTATATTTTGTTTATATTGACGATATTTGATTACTAGGTCTCTTCATGATACAGACAGCCCCTGTCTGCTGCATGCACTCTCTCCCCAGACACTCCTTCTTGCAACCGATTCCAGCGCACTTCATATATTTGATCTCCGAAGCCCATCAACAGAAGTATCTGCTCGGCCAGAACAAACGCACTACCCCCATGATGACTACGTATCCTCTCTTACTCCGTTACCGCCATCTGAAATGAGTACCTCAGGGTTCAGTAAGCAGTGGATAACGACGGGAGGGACCACAATTGCAGTCACAGACCTTCGGCGGGGGGTCATGGTCCGCAGTGAGGACCAGGGCGAGGAATTGATCAGTTCGACCTACGTCACCGGTCTGAAAGCTGGAGGTACTAGCAAGGGGGAGAAACTGGTAGTTGGAGGGGGTAGTGGAGTTATAACTCTTTGGGAAAAAGGAGTGTGGGATGACCAGGATGAGAGAATCATCGTGGACAAGTCACCACTCGGCGGTGAGAGTCTAGAGGTCCTTGCTAAAGCTCCCGACGAAGTAAGCAACGGCAAGGTTGTCGTTGCTGGGTTGAGTGATGGACGCCTGAAATTCATTCAATTGGGCAGTAACAGCATCGTTTCTGAGACCAGGCATGACGAAGTTGAAGGTGTCGCGGGTCTGGGGTTCGATGTTTGTGGCAGGATGGTCAGCAGTGGCGGCTCAATAGTCAAGGTGTGGCATGAGGCACCAGAGACAACCGGGAAAGGGAAGGATAACTGGGCGCCATCAAAGAGACACCTGGAGGATAGTGATGATGATGACGACGACTATGATAGTGATAAGGGCTCGGCGGCAGAGAGTGAGGAAGAGGAAAAAGAAGAAAAGAAAAGAAGGAAGCGGAAGAGAGGCAAGGGTAAAGATCGAACTGGTGGCCAGCATGTAATGGCCTTCAAGGACCTCGATTGATTTCCCTGTGACTCGCTCTCCCGCTACTACATAAGTCTGGATATCACTCTACGTGATGTAGAGTTTTGGATACGCTGGTATTTACCCACAGCGTGCTTGACCTTGGATAGAGCCGACGTTGCCCAAATCTACCAGTTGTACAATAACCATAAATGCCAGGATTTTTGTATTCAGGGGCATAGAGGGCTTTAACCGCCATCTCTATCTAGGTGATGAAAGGGGGCTGTGACACCTCTCAGGCAAGTAATTGCGATAGTATAAGCCTACAATACCTCTACCGTAGGTACAAAGCCGTCAATCCCGTGGCTGATTAAATGCTGGGATGTAGACTGACAAATACACGGCATCATGGTTTCCGCTACAGGCGCGCACAACACACAATTTGACCACTCGAACATCTGGCCATATAAATCTCTCGAGCCTCAAAAACACACATAATGAGACCATTCGAATACACTACCCACCCTGCTCATGTTCTTTTCGGTACCGGGACCGTAAAACAGCTGTCTGCGGAAATTGAACGGCTAGGAGTGAACTCTCCACTGCTTCTGTATACCCCTCGGCAAGAAAAGCTAGTGGACGATGTGAGAAGGCAACTCCAGGACAAAGTAGCTGGAGCATTTGACGGTGCTGTAATGCATGTTCCCACGCATGTCACTGAGAAAGCTCTTGCATATGCAAAGGAGCGCGGTGCTGATGGCATTGTGTCCATCGGTGGTGGGAGTGTCATCGGGCTGGGGAAGGCAATCAGCCTCCGGACTGGGCTGCCGCATCTATGCGTTCCAACAACATATTCAGGCAGTGAGATGACCCCAATACTTGGAGAAACGCATGACGGTGTGAAGTCTACCAGGACAGACCCCAAAATCCTCCCGGCAGCAGTCATATATGATGTCGACTTGACAATGTCGATGCCAGCCAGCCTGAGTGCTACAAGCGGCATGAATGCCATTGCCCATGCAGGTAATTAAACCTCACGCTGGGGTTTATTTATTCAAATATCTTTATCTTTGTCTCATAGTCCTTGGTGCTGATTGAACTAGTGGAAGCATTGTATGCTCACAACGGAAACCCAATTGTCAACCTCCTGGCGCGAGAAGGCATAAGAAGCCTCTCTACAGCCTTGCCTGACATTGTGGCTAACCCCCAATCTAAATCTGCACGATCAGACGCCCTCTACGGTGCTTGGTTATGTGGTTCATGCCTGGGAAGTGTTGGAATGGCCTTGCATCACAAACTATGCCATGCACTTGGTGGTAGTTTCAACCTGCCGCATTCGGAGACACACACCGCTGTCCTTCCCCATGCAGTTGCATACAACTCTCCGAACACCCCCGAAGCGATGGCTACGTTGGCAGAGCTGCTCCCTAGTAGCCAAGGTGATGCAATTCGAGGCCTAAATGTTCTAATGCAAAAGCTACGGGTAAAAAGGGGTGCAAGAGAGTTTGGTATGAAGGAAGAAGATATTGACAAGGCTGCAGAGATAGCCATGAAGAATGTCTACTATAACCCCCGTGAAGTGAAAAAGGATGCAATTAGAGAGCTCCTTAGAAGGGTTTGGGCAGGGGAGGAAGCTCGAGCTGATCTATAGTTGTCGATACGAGCGTCGTTTGACTCGACACTGCTATGACCAATACAACACTTATCCATCCAGAGGTCCGGTATAGCCTCTCTTTTTACAACCTAGATGCGATGTCCCTTGGATTTCGCTAGTTTTGTCCACCTCTGGAGCAAGTGACATGTGAAACCGGAAGCCATCTCAACTGAGACTCCAGTAATAATTCCTAGAGAAAATTATGTAATTCCAAAGAAATATCTCTTCCACAGCTTGGGTGTAACTAGGTATATGAGATGGTAAACAGCAAAGCTCAAACCTGGAGAGCGAAAGGGGTGATTTTTAAGCCTCCTTTTTTATAGGCCGTTATCAGATGGCGGGGACGTCACGTGGCGATAAGAGAAACTTTTGTACATTTTTTATCCCACCAAAGGATGGAAAAGAAAAGGTAGAAGAAGAAGAAGAAGAAGAAAAGGAAGATTTCACCTGGCAGCAGAGAAGTGCGAAGATGACGGAAGCGCTGAAGGTTGCGCCAGTCCTATCGACGCCAGACACGCGGATTCTAGAGGAAACCGAACCGACAGCAGTCAACCAACCTATCGGCCAGAATTTATCGGACGAGGAATTCCGCATTACTTACGACATTGAGCGGACGATCAGGGAGATAAAAGAGGGGAAATGGCAGAGGATAGCCCTCCAATTCCCAGATGACATGCTACCTGATGCGCCGCGAGTTTTCCAGCTCTTAAGCCGCGGCCTCAGTTCCCAGGACAATGGTAGCCAGAAGAAAAGACACAACACCAACGGCGTGGAAGGAGATGACAAAGACGTAGAAGACGTGGTCAACTCTATGGACCAGGAGTTGAATCTGGACGAAAAATCTGAAGGTTGCATGCCCAAGCTATATATACTGGCAGACACCTCGTACGGAACCTGCTGTGTGGACGAAGTTGCGGCAGAGCATGTCGACGCAGATGTTGTAGTACATTATGGAAGATCATGCCTCTCACCAACTGCGAGGCTACCTGTGATATATATATTTACGTGTAGGCCGCTCGAGCATAGTGAAGTCATCCAGGCCTTTGAGGAATCATACCCAGACCATGGAGAGAAAGTCGTCATTGCCGCGGACGTAACATATACCGCACATGTTGAGGAGATAGCAAAAATACTCACACAGCAAAAGGGGTATACCAATATTTTTGCGACCCAAGTGGTGCATAACCCTTCCTCGCAGATTCCTAACCGGACGATTCCGCCATCAGTGGAGGCTGGAGAGGAGTCATTAAACGACTGGCAGCTCTTCCATATCTCTGATCCGCCAACCTCTTTGCTTCTAACTCTATCTTCCCGTGTTGCCGCAATCCGGATATACCCAGCTGATTCTGGAGCTAGTGGTAAGTCTGGCTCTGGAAATAAGGCATTACTAGCATCTACTGCGGTTTCTCTTCGTCGTCGATATGCCATCCTGACGTCCCTCAATACCGCACCGATATTTGGCATTCTTGTGAATACCCTCAGTGTGAAGAACTACCTCCACATCGTGCAGCATGTTCAGAGGCTCATTGCGGCAGCAGGGAAGAAGAGCTACCTCTTTGTTGTTGGGAAGCTCAATGTGGCAAAAGTAGCCAATTTCAGCGAGATAGAAGGATGGGTCATCATTGGATGCTGGGAAAGCTCGCTTGTGGATAGCAGAGAGTTTTGGAGGCCGGTCATTACGCCATATGAGCTGGAACTCGCACTTCAAAGTGACAGTGAGCGGATATGGACCGGAGCGTGGAGCAGTGACTACCAGTCCCTACTCAACTTCGAGCAGAGTGCTGCCCCAAAACAGAAAACAGGCAGTCCTATCTCATCTCCGGCGAAGGCTGAAACTGAGGCTGAAACAGATACACTCAATCATGAAGGAGAGAATGAAGACGAAACTTTTTCTGAGCCAGAGTCAGCTCCCCCTGATTTCGATTTCCGAACGGGCCGATACGTTTCAACCTCGAATTCCCGACCCATGCAGGCGTATTCAGGCTCTTCACATTCGGCTGCCTTGCCCAACGCTGCTCATGAGCAGCAAGCTGCTGCTGGTGCTTCGAGATCTCTCACAAAACGATTCAACTCAGACGTTGCCACCATCGGCGGCGTTGTCTCCCCTGGTGCAGAGTTTTTAAAGTCCAACAGATCATGGAGAGGGCTGGGTAGTGATTTTGTCGTTGAATATGAGGAAGAGAACAGCGAGGACGGTGGTCCCAGGGGGAGTGCCGTTGTTGAAGGCCTCTCGGGAATTGCTCGAGGGTATAGAATTGGCGACAATCAAGAACGGCGGTAGTTAGCATTAGACAGGATATATTTGGCCAAGAGAGATATCCCCCCCCCCTATTTTCTTCCGGTGGCTTTCCTTCCGCCTCCAACACCCATGCCTCTCTTTTCTGTAGGTATACTCCGTACTGCGGGAGTCTGCATCTCGCCGCGTTCCGCCCTGTGGCCAGACAGCCAGTGTCAATTAAAACTAGTTAATGACCACGGCTCTCTTCGTAGTAGTTGACCAGTTAACTAGTTAACTAGTTGGTTGAACCCGCAAGGCCGCGCAGCCTCAGCACGCAGCAACCCACTCCCAGGACCGCGATGCCAGGGACTCCCCGTACGCCCCCTGTCCCGGACTATTAAAACGCTAAGCGCATAAATAATAAAACTGCTCCGTCTTTGCTCAACAAAAGCGCTCGACAAGGCCCTTTCCCCTTCGCCTTCACTGCGCTGTGTCTATCCACGTGACACTTTTCTCTTAAGAGGCGGCGAGAAAACATCGACAGCCGCCAGCGAAGGCAACAAACATCGCCAGCGCGACGAAGCGACAGCAAGCCCATCGCCAGCGGACCCGTCAGCTCGCTACACTGGACCAGGGAGTCGGGGGTGGTGCTGCCCTGCGATGTGAATTGCCTCCGGGCCCGCGGTGGACTGACTGACTGACTGACTGGACTGACCGACCGACGGACCTGCTCGCAGGCTCTGCCTCAGGCCCGGCCTGGAAAAGGAGGAAGACATAATCTCCCCAGCTCGCCGTCGATGTGTCAACGCGACCATCCAGCCATACGAACGCACGCCTCACTTCTGCCCAGCAGCAGCCCTCCGCCGTCTCCTTCTTATGATGCCCAGCTACTTCTCGTCTTCCCGCCGCCGTCTTACCAGATCGAATTCTCAGTGCTACTGATTCCAGGATGGCCTGTATCTTCGGCCCCGGTGGATCCTCGCCTAACGAGATGAGCCCAAGGATGCCGGCTGCTACATCCCCAGATCTCATATTCAGCGAAGGCGAAGAAGGAGAGCAGCGGCCGATGGCGAGGCACTCGCAGCTCTCTACATTCGAACGCGTTCTCTCGACCCATCCGCCCATCCTCGAATCGTTCCTCCTGCAGACCCCAACTGAATCTATCCTTCAACTCTACCACACCTCCTCATATCTCCGGTCTTTCCTCAAATCATATCCGACAGCATGGCAGTATCTCTCATTCCGACTCCTTTTGCCTTCCAGCACGCAGGTTCGCCCGCTGGTTGGAGCCACAGACTCGCAGGGAAACCAGCGCCAGTCCCGACCCTACGCACTTGACCAATTACTACTTCACGTCATCGTACCCTTTAGCCCTTCTCTTCGCAGTCTAGACCTGGATAACACTGCTGTATCGGGTCAGAACCTCATTTCGATCGTCCTCAGCGCACGCAGGGATACACTCGAGCACATCTCTGTCCGGGGATGCAAAAATGTGTCTCTGAAATATCATATCATTCCTTACTTGACCATGTTCGGGCTTCAATATGACACAGAAACTACAAATCCGCTCGGCCCTTCGTCAAAAGTGAAACGTCTTGCTATCAAAAGCCTCTACACCTACCGGTGTCGCCACCATAGGAGACGCCCGTACCTAACCTCGTCTCTGCTTAGAAGAGACTCGGACTCAGAACCAACGCATGAGCTCGTCAATCTTTGCCATAAGCTTGGTATATGGACTGATACCGCTTGGTGTACTACTCCAGCTGGGCGTTGTTTCCGAAGACGGGGTTATGTGGCCATGAGGGTACCACAAGGCAGTCCTGAAGTGTGGGTTGTGTTCGACCGGCTATGGAGGTCCAAAAACTGGATTGGCGCATCCGGTGACAGTAATGAGCCTCCGAAACGAGACGGCCGCCTATGGGAACATGATGAAACTGGCCATTCTGGCGAACCTCTGGGGACTCCTGGTGCCCAGAAATACGGAGAGGGAAAGACAGTCCCAACTCACCTGCGCAGTAGTCACAAACGATTCGTGGACGACATAAAGTGTGATGCTTGTCTTGAAAAGATACATGAGAGATGTGAGCAATGCAGCGTCTTGATGCATTGTGTTGGATGCCGGAAAACCCTCTGTTACAGTTGTGCATATGATACACCCTACCCAAGGAGAAAGACAGCATCTGTTGGTGAATCGGCAGGAGAGACATTCTGGTGGGCTCCAGGAGCCACCATATCCCCATGTGCGATGCAGGAGCCTTATCAGCAAGCCGTTGGTCCCAATACGGTCAACAACCAGAATGGAATGGCCAACTCTCCCGTTTACCCAAACCTGAAGCTACACTGGTGCTGCACTGAACCCATGTTCACTGGTGGTGGTGGAATAACGCTTGGAGTCGCTGGTCGTGAAGTTGACAGGGTACGGGCGGCTCCTCTTCCCCGTGGGCAAGGGTGGGAAGATCCGGAGTACTCATCGAATGAATGGAGCAAAAATTTCCCAAAGTATGCATATGGAGACCCGAAGAAGCCCGACTACACTCTTGCCGAAGGTCACACTGAGATGATGCGTTGGCTCCTAGGCCCATCAAGTTGTCAAGTTTCAAGCTGCCCGCGCAATTTGTGTCAGGACTGTTTTGATTCCCCCCAATGGAAGGTCCATTGTAAGAGTTGTTCAAAGCCCTTGTGCATGGAACACGATTTACGGGGGTTGCGTCTTCGAATATGTGGTTATCGAGACCTTCTGCTTGAAAAACTTGCTATTGGGGATGGACGGACACCTGCCTCGTCCGCTGCTTCGGCAACTTCTCCTGCCAGGCCTGCCTTGTCTACCTCGGCCTCGTATGCGCCTTTGAGACTTGCTCCCCCTGAACAGAGCCATGGCGGCGCTTCAAGCAGCAGTAACCCTCTACCAAATGAAACAAACTCTTCAATTCCAGCGACGGCAGCTATGAATGCCACTGACAATCAAAATGCCGACCCTGCCTCTTCCTCGACTTCTAACAATCATACCCGTTCTTCTACGCCCGCCTCTGTTTACTTTGAAGCAGCACCACAGTCGCGTAAATGGCTTGGCTGCCAGTCGTTCTTCTGCCCACAGTTCCGAGCTGCCGGAGATCACCGTCAGCGTTGTACAAGCGTACTGAGCGAATGTACATCTTGCTCTGTCCACGTTTGCCAAGATTGCGTCGACGAGAATCCGCCATGCACTTGCTCGTATTGTGATTTGAACTACCTCTGTCCAAATTGTTATGTGACCAAGGAGCAGGATGGCACTTGTCGCCGACTTGAGGAGGAACGTGCAAGACGAGATGAGAAACAGAAACGCGACCTGGAGATGTTTGAAGTTGCTCTCGAACGCAACCTTGCAAACGAAGTTGCCGGGTATGCTGGGCAGTTTTTCAGTCAAGTATACCATACCGGGGAGCCTGTTCACATGTCTGAGCAGCCGACGGAGAACGTTGGTGAAGCGCTTCCGCTAACTCAACTGGACGGGGCCACCAATAGTCACCCTCCAGCCCAGCCAGGTGCTTCCCAGCATACTGCCACTTATGATGACGATGACAACGGTCCAGCCGGTAGTGGGTCAGAACATACTGAAATTCTGGGTGATGATGCTTAATATTGTGCCACTTCACTCTCGACTTCAACTTCTCATCACGTCTCGTGGTACAGCAAACCATTCGCAGCATTGCCATATATCATATCCTATCACATCCTATCCATTTACCGATTTTAGCCATCTTCTCAGATCTTGCAGCAACTAATTGCCTTCGTCATCAATGACCGCCCGAGGTACTAGCACTTTCTTTTTCATTTCATTTGTTATGCCAAGTTGCTTTCTACTTTTTCCCTAACGACTCTCTGTGTCTGTCTTTCACCTCCTTGCAAAGTGGGTTATTTCTTTTATTCGGCGAAAGGAAACATATTTTCGAGTTTAAGGGGAACCGGGGCTTCTAGCAGGCATTTAGCGATATGGTGTTCTCATTCCTCATTTCAGTCCTGTTACTGTTGTCCTACAATTCCTGACTATCGATGTTCTTTCAAACCCGTGGATGTTTTATTATCTTCTAGTAAAGTATACTATTTGTCGATATATATAGTTATATTTTTTTCTTTCCCTATTCATTTCACGGAGCATTACTGGTGTTTAACATTTTCTTTCCTTTTCTTTCTTTCGGTTAAAATTGTAGAGAGCTATCACTGTTCGGCTTGTTCCTTTTTTAATGGAAGGCTCGGGAATAAATAGCATTATTTCTGAATGAGAGCAAGAATGTCCAGCATTTCTATATATCTCAATATGCAACAACAATAGTCGACAAATCTGGTTTTTCTTTCGTCATACTTCTTGGGGCTGGAGGAAAGCAAATATCCAGGTTGAAACTAAGCAGAGTATTTCCTTCCCTGGTGAGCAGCTATATTATCCATGCCCGTCACTATATCCTCCTGTCCAGCCTTTTAAAAAGAGAAATAAAGTAGAACCATAACCAACAATAATAACATCGAAAACAAGATGGGAAGATGCAGCAAGTTAACTCCGTTCATATTCGGGTAAAGTCGAATCATCTCTCTTTCCTGCACCATCATATGAACGTCGAGAGGTACCTGTATGGTCGCGACAGAAAACAGGCGGTGGAGTGGCAATAGGGGAAGGCGGAATTATCGAAGATGAATCTGTTTCTGTCGTTCCAGTATAATTAGTGGGGATAGATATCGACATCGATCGCTGGGAGTGGGCTCGAGACGAGCAATAAGAAGAATACGGCGGCGGAGGCGTTTCTCCAGTAGCCGTAGACGTATTTCCTATGCTAGTAGGGAAAGAAATCTGCGATGATGCGTCGGATGAATCGTCTTCTGTGGCATTATCGGCATTATTACTAGGGGATCGACGGTCGTATATGTTCTGGTTCTTTTCATCTCGAGGGTGATCACGTTCACATAAAGAGCGACGACCTGAGATGGCTAGGGTCTTTTCCTGTATACTGATAGGACGCGCTGTGTATCTCGGAAGGGGCTGGCTCGAGTGGTACGGGTCATTTTCATCAACGAATGGTTGATACCGGTTGTAACTGGAAGGGTGCGAGGGCTGGGACGACTGGTTGTCCGGGTGGGGTTGAGAAGAATAATCTGATTCCTTTTCCTCCTTTCTACTATGCGAGGGAAAACATGAACACAAGCTGGCGAAAAAGGCGGCCATTTGGAATGATGTTCCGCGCGAGGCTGTGGGCAAAACGGGGCAGTTAACGAGCGTCGTCAGCGTTTAGAGAACTCCGGTAGGGAGGGAGAACAGTTGGAAGCGTGGAAGGGCGTGCAATGCCCTCAAACCCCAGACTAGGGCTGGTTCACCACGAAAACTAAGCCCCTGGGTGACGGCAGTAGGGCATCTCGGCTGGCAGAGGGGAGAAGATGACAAGTGTGAGAGAAAGTAGTTGGTTTGTTCCTGGGAGAAACTGCGGAGGGCTGCGGCTGAGTCACGTGGATGCTGCGGCTCAGCGGGATAGCCCGTAATGTATTACACGTTACTGTACTGTAAATATGAAATTGGCCAATAATAGCTCGGTAATCAGTCGGCAGTTACACAGTCTCACTAACATCCGATTGGCTGAACCATGCATTATGGACTATTAATAATCCGATATCGATCTTATCGCAAAAAGTCAAAATTATTTCGAGATTTCTTTTGTGGCAGTTCAGCAAGTTATTATCATTCTTCTTGATACCAACACAACATTCTCGCAAAGAGACTGAGTGCATAAATATATAATGACGGAACAAACTACCTCAGCATACGCAGACTGCAAGGACTATGTGGCGGTTGCCCAGCTTGTCGAGCCTGTGCCCGTCCCAGCGCATCGGTCTCACGACCCCGCCAACAATCAGAAACGAACAGATCCATTTCAGTTCGGCTCACGCTTCCTCGAAGAAGGCGATGATGTCTTTGAATTCAACGCCTGGGATCATGTAGAGGCTGATCCAGAGTACTACGAATATGCCGAATTACAATATGCAAGACAGCGAGCCTCTCCAGTTTCCGACTTTGACCGCCAGCGGTTTAATTCCCAACCGGCAAAGTGGTGGAACCTATTCTACAAAAACAATACCGGGAACTTCTTCAAGAATCGCAAGTGGCTGAAACAGGAATTCCCAATCCTAGGAGAAGTGACGGCGGCAGATGCAGGCCCAAAGGTTGTTCTTGAGGTCGGAGCCGGTGCGGGCAACACAGCTTTCCCTGTATTATCGAATAATGAAAACAAACAACTAATGGTCCACGCCTGCGACTACTCTAAAACTGCCGTGGAGGTTATGCGAAAGAGTGAAAATTATAATGAGAAAAATATGCGAGCGGATGTTTGGGATGTTACGGCAACAGGTGAAGATTCACTTCCACCAGGCCTAGGAAAGGAGTCTGTGGATGTTGTCGTGATGGTTTTCATTTTTTCTGCGCTCGCTCCAGAAGAATGGAATAACGCAGTATCGAATATATACCAGGTTTTGAAGCCTGGAGGCTATGTGCTTTTCCGTGACTATGGAAAAGGTGACCTTGCACAGGTGCGGTTTAAAAAGGGACGGTGGATGGGAGAGAACTTTTATGTTCGAGGGGATGGCACGAGAGTATATTTCTTTGAAAAAGAGGAAGTATCCCATATATGGGGCAAATGGACCCCCCAGGGAGGCATACCTGAGTTCAAAAAGGATGACGAAAGCACAACAGCCGACGAACAAAGCTCGCCTGATTCTGGATTTGAAATTCTTAACATGGACCTTGATCGCCGATTGATTGTCAATCGTCAACGAAAGCTGAAGATGCATCGATGCTGGCTACAAGGGCGGTTCAGAAAACGAATGCCGCCCCAGGCTTCAATGGAAGTCCCTTCAACGCTCGACCAGCCAAGTGAATTCAAAAATTAAAACTCTCGACAGAAGAGGCATACTATGTTTAGCACCCATTTTGTCTCTGGTCTGTTCCCTCCCGGGGATCATTGCGCCTCCGCAAGGGCATTCTGCATCGTTAACGAGCACGCCATTGCAAGGACCCGTGCGATCAGGTTGATGCTGAAAATACGATGGCGGTTAGACCGTTCGATGCTACAGTCCTCCGTGCATATGCAGGCTCTCCTTTCGCTCCACACTAGGTTGACTTCTACCTCGCTGTGCCTTGGAAGTCCCGCTGTCTAATAAATACTCACGCCACACAGACCCCGGCCATTTCAACGTCTCAACTTTCCTGATAGAATAGACCCCGCGATACCATATACATAGAAATGCGGAGCAATCGAACGCAGTCTTGCCCGATCAATAACTTCAATTGGTAATAGGTAGTTAACTCTTCAGCTTTGCAACATAATTGTATGCCTTTCAAATTAAACATACGGACTCTTGATGCACCAGCCAATCGCCACTCTGCAGAGCGAAAGCTTGGGTGACATCCAATCTCCACCGAGCCAATACTACCGAGTGCAACCTCTCCCCATCCCGCGCAGATTTGCCCTTATTTCATGGCGTTGGGTCTCTCCCGCTCCTGAAATTATATGGTAGTGGCCAGCGTGCTTTCTCGGCGATAATGCCGGAGTATCTCCTTTCGGGCGACCGTTTCCAGCTGCAGCTATCCCGTTCCTCACTAGGTAGTGGAGGTCTTGGGCAGCTCCCCACGCCTAAGGCCTATAGTTGGACACCGAGGGTAGGAGGAGAATCGCGTCTACGTCTTGAGTGGGACAAAATCTACCTTCTCTCCATTCCCCCTAGCATATAAGACACCCCGGGGCCCCAGAGGTTTCTCCAGATTCCAATTGCTCACGCTCCGAGTTCATCTGCCGCCTTACCATGAACGAAGTTACTGGTCAACAGACCGCTGGGTCTATAAACCAGGCAAAGAAGACAAGTTGGTTTGGAAATGTTGCACAAAACCCGTTCATATTTGGTGTTGCACTGGTGAGGATACCTGCTATATGTTGCTGTACCATAACTATACCTGTCTTCTAACCAATGGCATCCCGGATACCAGTTTTCAACCCTCGGTGGCTTCCTCTTTGGCTATGATCAGGGAGTTGTTTCGGGAGTCCTCACCATGGAGTCCTTTGGCGCAAAGTTCCCTCGCGTCTATAATGATAGCGGTTTTAAGGGATGGTTTGTGTCAACGTTACTTCTGGGTAGGTTAGATTCGCCCAAGGTTAATTGTTCCAGAGCAGAAGTGCTGACAAGGAAGTCTAGCTGCTTGGTTCGGATCTCTGGCGAACGGTCCTCTTGCGGATTATATAGGTAGAAAGATGTGTGTGATCACAGCAGTTGTTGTGTTCGTCATCGGATCTGCTATTCAGGCCGGAGCCGTCAATATTCCAATGCTCTTTGCCGGTAGGTTCCTCAAGTTACACCTGCTTATAAGGATAATACTGATGTCATAAAGGTCGTGCCATTGCCGGATTCTCCGTGGGACAACTGACTATGGTGGTGCCTTTATATATATCTGAGGTAGGTTACATCTCAACCTCAATCTCAATTGAACATGGATCAACTTACACCGTTCTATAGGTGTCTCTACCAGATATTCGAGGTGGACTCGTTGTATTACAACAATGTGAGTCTTATATCTAATCCTATTTAACTATTCTGGCTACTGACATCGTGGCTAGTATCTATTACAATCGGCATTCTTGTAAGCTACTGGCTTGATTATGGGACCAACTACATTGGAGGTACTCGATGTGCCCCGGGGATACCGTACACAGGTGGAACAGTCGAGAAGCCCGTTTTTGACCCCTACAAAGATGTTGGACCAAACGGCTGTGATGGGCAATCAGATGCGTCTTGGAGAGTTCCGTTGGCCTTCCAGATTCTTCCAGCGTTGGTTTTAGGAGTTGGAACGCTCTTCTTCCCAGACTCACCAAGATGGCTGTTTATGAAAGACCGTGAAGAGGAGGGACGCCAGTCACTTGCAACACTACGACAGAAACCTATTGGTCACCCATCTATCGAGACTGAATTCCTCGAAATAAAAGCATCCGTTATTCTTGAAAATACGTTTGCTAAGGAAAAGTTTGCAAACTTGTCCGGGGTTAAATTGCACGCTGCACAAGTAGGTTTCCCTCAAAAACAAATCGTAACTCTCCACCTCATGCTAACGTTCCGTACAGTACTACTCACTTCTTAGCACTTGGTCTAGGTTCAGGCGACTTGCAATTGGATGTTCCATTATGTTTTTCCAGCAGTTCATGGGGTGCAATGGTACGCTTCTCTTTATTTATAGCTACTGGCCAATTAAACGTGATATTAATGGGGATTCACAGCTATGATTTACTACGCCCCAACTGTTTTCAAGCAATTAGGATTGGATGGGAATACGGTACGTGCACTTCTATCTCATAAAACGACGTAAATTGTCTACTAATCCCCTCACAGTCCTCCCTCCTGGCTACTGGTGTATATGGAATCATCAACTGCATTAGCACTCTTCCAGCTTTATTCTGGATAGATAGACTAGGACGTCGAATGCTTCTAATGTGCGGTGCAGCTGGAACCTTCATTTCACTGGTTATTGTCGGCGCTATCATCGGTGCTTACGGTTCCAATTTCAAAGCTCATGCCGCCGCTGGATGGGTTGGGGTTGTGTTCATCTACCTCTATGATGTCAATTTCTCTTATTCGTTTGGTAGGTTAACATCCAAATAACATGAGAAAGTGCTTGGAGTACGTAACTGACGACATATCAGCCCCAATTGGATGGGTATTGCCATCCGAGATTTTCCACCTCTCAATCCGTTCTAAGGCTATCTCGATTACTACATCAACCACGTGGATGTGCAATTTGTGAGTATATAGTACGCTAGTTTTAAGCATCTATTGATCACTGACAGCCCTCCCACTTTACAGTATCATCGGCCTGGTAACCCCTGGCATGCTTGACAAAATTGGATGGGGAACATATATCTTTTTTGCCGCATTCTGTCTTATTGCCTTTGTTTTCACGTATCTATTTGTCCCGGAAACAAGAGGAAAGGTATGGATCATTTTTTGTGTTTTACGGAGGTTGTGTACATCAACTAACCTGAACTTTTCATACTAGACGTTGGAGGAGATGGACAGTGTCTTTGGCGATACTGAAGCGCATGAAGAACAAAAGCGTATCATGCAGATCGAAGCAAGCCTTCGCGGGACTGCTATTGGTGATTCAGATGCTGTTAAAGCGAAGGTATTGGAAGAATCTGTATAGGTTTGGCCGCGGCCTTCTCAGAACCAGGCCTCTATAGAGTATCCCTGACTTGAAATAAAATTACTGGAGCGCAGGCAGCCTTGGAGATGGCGGCTTGAATGAAACATAAGAAAACTGTACGGAATTACAAGAGAAATATACATGCAGGAAATACAAGGAATAAAAAAAAGGGGAAATGAACTCTCCATGGTCTCTAATTAAAATTATTATTGGAGGCAATACATGATCTGGTATCATATCCAATGAGCCTAGACCATAAGCCTGTCCTCCATCAGGCATTTCACTGATGAAACAAAGAAGAGTCAAGAATAAAAAAAAAATATACTAAGAAAAATAAAGAGGAAAAGCCGGGACAGATGCAAATAGAGGTCTATGATGGCAAGGAAATCTTTCTTCTAAGAAGTAAGACAAGGGCATTCGCCCTTTGCCCGCAGAAATGCTCCAGCAAATAGATCCTGCATAGCAAGATAGTGAAATAGTATGCCTCCCAAAACTGCGACGTGCCAGATATTATGGCTGCCGCCAACGTAATCAAAAAATCCGGGGTGCCAACGTTCCGGAATCTGTGAGGCGTAAATGCAAGCTCCGCAGAAGTATACAAGTATACTCTTTACCACGGGGGCGTAGAAATAAAGAGACCATTGCAAACCGCGAGTTAGGCTAAGCTGGACAATTGGCGCAAAGCCGGTGAGGGCAAGGGTGACATAGAATGCTACGCGAGCCCAAGCCATGTGAGGGCCATTGAAACGAGGATGCCAAGGAAGGATAACGCCAGCGATACCCAACGTGGAGGTCATAAGAATATAGATCCACCGAGAGTATGGTTCGCAGTAGAATGCAGTGTACTCTGTGGTGACAATGGAGGCAGCGACGAGCAAGGAAATACCGGTGTAGTCAACACAGGCAAAGCGTTCCATGAGGGGCTGATTAGCTATGCTGTTCATAGTATGCCATAGTGTGCTGCAGACGAGGCATTTGCAGGCAGCAATGAAGAAGATGAATGCAATGGTGACATCTGTCTTGGTGCTAAGGTGGAAGTTGGGGCTCAGCGGGTAGAAGTAAAAGGCCACAGCGAGAACGATTATTAGGCCGATGAGGTGAGACCAGATGTTGACCAGTTCATTGGAAAAGGAGAAGACAGAAGTGAGACATTCTATCTTTGATGCTGTGAACCGGTACCCCTTTCGGATGTGAGGGTTAACTCTCCATGGCTGGGGGAGGTCCGAGTAGTGGATAAGGCGCTTCTCCTTTGCGAGTGCGATGGCTCTATCGATACTTTCACGGAGAGCAATTTTCGCATGGACTGCACGTTCGATTCCTTCGTCAAGCATAACTCGGGCATGGGTTATGCTGGAGTCGACTGCCCGGAGTCCTTCATCGATGGCGCCGTATAAGCCACGGTCTCGAACGCTGTGAACACGCGCTTCTAGCTGGGAGAGAAAGTCCTCCATCAATCGCATGCTTGCCTGAGCCTTTTGTTCAAGCGTTTCCTTGGTAGCCAGTACCTCGTTGTAACGGCTTTCGAGGGTCTCAACGGCAATACGGGCTCGACGTCGTCCGCCGCCCATCAGCTCTCCAGAGGCATGAGAACATGAGTCCCGAACCGCTACCAGAGCGCCGTAGGCTCTCCTTAATCCAGAATCGATTTGTAGTATGTGTGATTGCCGGTAATCCTCCAACCACTGTAGTCGCCTTTCTAACTCCGCAAGAAATAAGTCGACCTAAAATGTTACAAGGGAAGAAAAACAAAGTCAGAATAAATTTTATGGGGTACCCCTGAAAAAAAAGTGAAGCGATGAACACCCACCTTGAGATAAATTGCATCTTCATCATAATCACAAGATAGTCGCCTAGATGTGTGAAACGAGTGTCTTCGTCTTCGGTCTTTCAGTAGACCAGTCAACTCGTTGGCAGGTGAAAGATATCCTGAGGCCGTACTGGATGGAGTACCAGTACGGCTCTCTATCGTAATCGAAGGAGTTGTGCAGGCCATTTCCCACAGCCGTGAGAGTGTCCCTTGCTAATAATACCAAGGAAATAAATGTCAAGACCTTCTTTTCGGCGTTGAGATGGTCGTTAAAAGGTATTCCTGCTTGTGGTGGTATTCAAATCTCGGTTTTTGTTGAGAGGTGAGAGAGATGATGGCCTAGGTGAGATCAAGTTGTTATCATCTTTCGGAACTCGATTGCCGGAAAAAGAGGCCACTGAGCGCTGCTCAAAGATGGAGAAGAAATACTCCTAGTGCAAGTAAGGGGGTTTTATACGGAGGAGGGGCTGCGCGGGAAATCGTTGAGGAATGGACGCTGTCCGGGGTGGAGATGTGTGAATAGCGCAGCAAATTGCCCTCTTGGCAGGTGTGGAGGTTGCAAGCCTGCAAGGTCATGCATCCGAGGTTGCAGCAGTCGGCCCAGTCTTGCTTCTGCGGTCTTGCTGTCCTTTCACTGGCGCAGGCAGGGGGTGCTATTTTGCCGGCGTTGGATGGCTGAATGGCTGCGTTGAAGTCGACCGTTCGGTGATAGCAGAAAAGGAAGGCAAATAAAAGAAAAAGTGCGTGACGTCGCGAGTGAAGGTCATTCGTTGCCGACAAGCGGGTGCGTATTGGGATTACCAAAGTTTCCGGCACTTGTGTTTCACTTTTGGGTGGGCTGTGTGTGGGGAGACGCGCGGCGACAAGGTTAACCCGGTATTTAATACACCCGCTTTCAATACACGGCCTTAAATCTTTATTTCTTTCGTGCTTTTCTTCTTTTTTGCTTGTGAATATCGAGCGAAGCCGCCAAACAAAAAATAAAAATAAACACTCAAAAAGGACGAGACGAAGGAGAAAAGAGGAGAAGCCAGCGTATAACAGAGCAATTATTCCGTCTCAGAAGATGGCCGTCGAGCAGATCGTCACCGACCCTGCCCTTATCCCCGCCCTGAAAACTTGTTCGGACACCTTGAGCGAGGCGCATAAGCTCATCGACCTGCTGGAAAAAGGGATCCAAACCCCCTCGTCGAACCCCAACGAGACACTGCAGGAAGCGTACAAACAGCAGAGACACATTTATTCGCTGCTGGCTCAGCTACGTGGACTCAACCGTGAGGCCATTCTCAATGTCAGGTCAACCAAGCAGGCCACGGCGGAGGCACGCCAGGAGATAGACAGACTGCACCTGCAGCTTCAGAATCTGTACTACGAGCAGAGACACCTGAGCGGCGAGATAGCCGCATGCGAGTCATACGAGTACGTGAATTTAGGCAGGAACTGTCTTCGGTCCGATCTGTATGCTGACAAGTACAAACCCTTCTACAGCCATAGTTATCTGTCATTGCCCTTGATACCGGTGGAAGAGTTCATTAGCCTGTATCCAGAACATGCAAACTCGGACGAACATGAACTTACGATTGCCCGAATTAACCATGAGCACGCGGAGAGGGAAAAGCTCGAACAGGCCCGCCAGGAGCTCTTGAAGAAGAAACAGGCTCTCATTGCAGAAAACAAAAAGAGAAAGGAAGATCTAGCCAGTCTAGATCAGGACTTGGAACGGTTCATTGATGTCAGCCTCACTTCTAAACTCCATACATGTAGCCATGGACCCCTGCTAACCACAGCATTCTCAGGCTGCGAAACCTATCCAGAAGATATTCGAAAAGGTCTACGTACCTGTCACCCGGAAGTCAAATGGAGAAGACAAATGAGTTCAAAACTAGGATCCTTGCATTATGATTATTTGGCTATGTTTATATACCCTGCATGGATAAAGGAGTCTTAAGGCGAAAATGCATAGATTCGGAATCTAAAGCACATTTTTTTTCTCTCTCTCTCTACCACATAAACCGCTGGGTTTTCCCTGGTTCCTGAGGCCAGTCAAACCCTCTATACAAAACATATATCCTGTTCCCAAATTTATGAGCATATACCAGGTTGTCTCGGTAAGTAGCGGGAGAAACTCCAGAACAGACGAGCGCATTGTGGCCTCTTTGCTCTTGCGGCTCAATGGGGCTATGTGTAGTCGCCAGATGACCCATGGAATGATAAAGTATCTCGGTTCAACCAGCGGGGCAGTGATAAGGGACAGCGAGGTTGATATTAGCCATATAAGCACGAAACTAGTCCTCGTCGAAGTTTTGTTGGATATTGGGCCCTTGCTTTGAGCCCTTTTCGACTCTTCATTTTCTTTGTCTTGGGGGGGAGTTATGGAAATTTGTTCTGCAGGAATATCGGCCGAAGGGATGTTAAACGCGGCGATAGTCGCCCATCCACATAGGAGATAAACCGGGGTCACAGCGTACTTAATCATTGGATGCCGGAGCAAGAGACGGAAGACGTAAAACACATAGTGTCGATTATCGGCCAATGTGAAAGGATGTACAATGGTATTCAGGTGAACAACCAGGGTCATAACCACCAAGACACTTAGCATTATGCTCAGACGCGGAAGTTTGCTGGTCAGTTGGGTCAGGCCCTGCGGGTTAGATTGGCCAATATAGTTCCACACCTGTAATGCCCACGGGTATAGAATAATTGGCCAGGAGAAGAACATAAAATACGGCCAAATATAGAGCATTTGAGGCAGATGCAAGCCCGCACTGTGAAATTCCTTATGGCCTATAATTATGAGCAAAATGTTAGCGATAGAAAGCAGAGCGCATTTTAAGATGGTACTTGCCTAAGACGACACTTCCATTGATAATCACGAACAGTCCAAAGCATCCAATGAAGAAAAGATAGGGTAGAAGGGCTACCAGGACGGCAGATAAATGCGTTAGAGCGGAAATGGCTAGCGAAAATCCAACCTTAAAATAGTCTTCATAGAGCATATTAGTATGGAGTTATTGATCTAACACCTAAGCTCATCGTGGACATGCAAGCATTACCTTCAGCATACGCGGCAGCGGCAGGAGGGTCGTAGAGTTGTTTTAATTCCCAGCTACCTCTTGCAATACGCTGCATGTCAGAACATTGGCATTCTGTAGACCTCGAACGTAGAGTGTTCACCACCTGTAGGCCTCCCAGGAACACCGCAACCCAGAAGATATTTGTTTGTCGGAACACAAGGGCAGCCAATCCAAGTACGACAAGGCTAAGGTATTTCAAAGTCATCCATAAAGAACCTTTAACAGCACCATGACCATCAGCGAAAGAACTCCGCTCCAAATCAACGTTGCAAGCCTCCAAGACAACAAGTAGGGCAGCCAAATCCGTATAATAAAGGCCGGAGAAGAAGAAAATTGGCGGGAAAAGGCAGATATTTAAAGCACTAAGGCTAATTAACCAAGAGCTTATCCTAACCTCCTCATTTTCCAGCATGAGTGTTTGCCTTAGTGAAAAGAACCTTCTCAGTGTAAACTGTAGAACATTGAACAGCACCAAACCATTTATGCACCGCAGTACGGAAGCCGAGAGTTCCACTGGTTTCCCAAAGAGAGCAGCCGATAACGACGCCACAGCGTAGGAGACAAAATATAAGCCTGGCGGTGTCGTGATTTTCGGGTCCCATTGCTGCCATCGATGGTCCCAGTACGCCTGTGCCTGTCTCACATGGAATACCTCATCTAGATAGGGATCTGGAAGAATAACATTTATTTTTCCTAGCCAGTAGACCATCAACCTTGCCGCTAGAAGAATGGTGCACACATGGGGAATAATATGGTCCATGGCGATGTAAGGGTATATTTTCAATGTTTTCCAGCCGTCTCCATGCATGCTCTTCTGTGTTCATAGACGCCAAAACGAATATGAGTCATAAAGTAGCGGACAGCGACAATATGGTGTTAGATATGACTGTCCTTATGCCATCATGCTTGTCTCAACACGCTTCTCCCCTGGTTGTCTTTCTTTTCTCTTGCCTTTTTTGTGTTTGGTATATTAGATCCAAGGTTTCGACGTTGAAATTTCACGTGACTTCATTAAATAAAAACAGAGGTAATAGTAGTAATATATTACTAATCAAACTGTCCCCTTCGCAAAGTCGCAACCCAAAGGAACGACGCGACGAAGAGCGCAATTGTATAGCTGCGCAGCTTCACAAGGAGAAACACTAGACCGTTCAATGGCTTTCCCGCTACCGAGGGGGATAACGTCCCCTGAAATCGCTTTTCTCTGCGAAATGGAAATGGTGACTGTAGTTCCCCGGCAGCGTCTAGAGGGGCTAGAATTGCTTGGAGTGAGTTAGACCCTTACTTCAATACGGCTAGATACAACGATATCAGCTCGGTAATTCTGCCTACTACCGCATACCTCCGGGGGCAGCCAGAGGATCTATAGATGGAGATATCGGGGCCTGGCGCCTGTGGAGCAACTTTTCTGCCCGTGCCTGTCCTATACCCAGTCGCTAACTCGACAATCAACCCCGCTAGGGACCAACAGAGGCAATGATACCTCCGCGACGATCTATGCTGCCGCTCTGGCTTGCTCTCTTGCTCAAACGCCAACGTCGTGTCAATATACTAGCCCCTTCATGGCTTGCCCTAGAGTCACTGACCTCGCTTCTCGAGCTGGAAACTATGCGAACAGAGCAATTCTGTCCTCCTCCTACCTTAATGGCTCCGGCGCAAGATGGCAATACAGATTCAAGACAGCACAACCGTGGCAATAATCGAAGTACCAGGCCTCGTTATAACATGGATGGGAAGAGATATACCCCATCGCCTCCGTTTCTACTCCAAAACACTGTGAATGCTGAGCAGAATGAATTCCTGAATGCCTTGCCTTACCATTGGCTTGAGTTTGCAACCATGCTCCTTGATGTAGCTAGTGACGACATTCAAGATTCCGACCAAGTACGCCGCTGCATTCGGGATATCCGAGAGGTGCGAATGTCCAAAATGCGCCAATTGATGGAAGGTATTGATGCCACTGCTGTTGGCGGTGGAGACGGCTTAGTGCTGACAGGTGTGGGCGCCATGGAAATTGGTGAAGCTAGAGGGTTTATCTCCGGTGCAGCTGAAGCATTAAGGTATGTTCAACTCTTTGAGTTCTGAAATAATTTACTAACTTGCTTTCCATAGACAAATAGGTGCTTCTAAAGAGGAAACCTTGAGAGAGCAGGCTGGGGAGGATGAAGGAGAGGATATTCAATACGGTGGAAAAAATGACTATGAAGATGAAATGGACGTGGAGCTATAAGTCCCGACAGCATCTGGACTCAGTTCTACGTTTTTCCCCGGATACAGGGCCAACTGGGAGAGGCCGTAAAGCTCTGCTACTCGGCTTATGACTTGTTCATCCCTATGAACTACTAGCACTGCTGTGGTCGAGCATTGCGGAGCTAATGTCTACGCTAGTTGGGCAGTAGATGACATAGAGTCGACATGCCTGCCGACTCGAAACTAACACTCCACGGAGTATGCCAAGCAGGCGTTGTTCCAATGTTGCGCAAGACATACCACCACATAGCTAAGAAGGCTGCAAGGTAGTCCCCAACCGCCGTTGACCGACTAAACCTTTCCTAGGCAATAAGAAAAGGAGAAATTGCATTCCTAACGGTCTTGTGAGCCCATCTCTATTCGGTATTTCAGCCCAGGAAAAAGCTCGGGAAAATGTTCTGATATTTATACACAAAACTCTCATGGACACCGGTTCATAAGACTTGCGGTGTATTTCTAAACGGCTTACAAAGCCCTTTGCTACCCAACAGCTGCATATTCTTGGATAGAAAAAGGCTCATATGAGTGAACAATTATACCCATGCATCTTAAGAACTTATCGATTCCTAAGTTGAGATTCCAGCCATTGTGTAATTGCAAATCCGTTGCTACAAACGCCGTAGTCGGTTAAACAAATCGCTTCCGATGCCGCTAGATAGTGAATAAGGATGAAAGGAGAGTCGTCCACACATGACCAACGAAACAGAAAGTAAAAGAAGAGTTACATGTTAATATTATTGCTGCTGCTCTTGTTTCGCAGCCCTATCTTTCTCTAGCATCTTCCTCCTGGCGGTAAGAATCATTTCGTCCCGTCGTTTCTGCATGAGTTTCTGTCTCTCTTCCTTGTCACGCGACCAGGCACTTCCTTGTCGAAGTATCGTTGAATCACTAGAAACAGTGCCGGTTCCAGATCCTTCTGTAGATTCATTATCTATCTTGGACTGAAGGTTATATCGTGCAATGAGGTTGGTCGATACTTGTTTTGCTACCTGTTCTGTGGCAGTAGATGTGGATTCAACTGTAGGTGTTGAGGCGGCTGGAATCTGAGGTTGGAACGTAGGAGGAGGCTACAGAAGAGTGATAAACCGCACGTTAGCAGGGTTGTATATATAGCAGACACAGAATCAGGGATAGACGATTGATTCCAACTCACTGTCTCTAATCCTCTTCCCGTCAAGATCCGCTCTGTTGTGGCCGCCACGCTTCCGCCATTCCGCTGTAAATCCCACATAAGTTCTCTCCGTGTAAGCTGAGGGAACATTTGAGCTAGATGGTCTAGCTGTACTGGATCGACTGCCTGAGCTCGATTTCTCCCTCCGTGCGCATTACTGTCATCTTGGGATGCCGAGCGTGAGAAAAACCACCGGAAGACGAAGAATGAGACAACGGCGAAGGTAAGGAGGGAAGGAATATTAATCGAAGGCTCAGATTCAGCCATGAATGAGGACATCAGAGGATATCTGAGATCTCAGCGATTTATCACTGGTTGGAAAGAGTAGCTAATGCGACCTCAGCTCGGCGGAATTTAAGGAGTCACGCGCGGAGATAATGCGATAGAACAAAAATGTCAAGGTAGTAAAAAAGATCGGGGTTAAATCGGAATCCAACGTATTAATACTCTCTCCTCCACGGGTATCGAGTGTAAACTGGTGATCCTGACGAGTGGTTGGAGTCCGTCATTGACATAAGAATCTTGGTGTGGCGTTGATGTGTTGGGAGCCTCGAGGCAAACAAATCAATTTAAGTTTCGCGCTTATTTTTATCGACAAAGTTTTTATCCGAATTAGACGCAGACAACTAGGTTGTTATCCCTTATTTGCAAGTAACTCAATATAGAAGTATGAATACACGGGGCTTCAGGTTGAAATGCATTAAATTCGTCAAAGAGGCCTGTTAATAGACCGTGAGAGTCTCGTTCACTAAGTACATAGCTACATACAATGCCATCCGAAAACACCCGATCCCCAAACCATGAAATGATATCCCAAAAAGACAAAGGGTACCGCATGAGAGTCTATTACTTTAAGTCTGCCGGAGTTAGTGCTTGTACCATGCTAGTACCTTCACTGAACCTCGTTCTGAATATCCGATTGGCGTTTTGAAACATTCCGTCCTTCAAACTGACGACTATGAACTGCGAGCCCTTGAAACGCGTCTTGATCAACCGACCAATATTCTGTGTATGAGACAAATCCAAAGCAGCATCGACCTCGTCAAGAATATACATCGGAGCGGGCTTGAATTGCAGAAGTGCCATGATGAGAGACAGTGCAATTAGAGATCTATGTGAAATAAAGCATTAGCAAAAGTTAACGAGAAAAAAAAAAAAAAAAGACAATAGGGATAGCTTACCTTTGACCACCACTGAGCTCTGTTAAGCTCTGCTTCCAGACTTTACCCAGGCTGACCTTGACCTCAAGACCATCGCTGATCTCTTTCCCTTCCGGAGGGTCAAGTTTGGCAAAACTTCCAGGAAGAAGCTCCGAAAATATCTGGCCAAAGTCTGCAGTGACTTTGGACCAGGTCTTATGCAAAGCCTCTTTCTTATATTCATCCAAACTGATGATTGTCTCTTCGATCTTCCTCTTGTCTCTGATGACTGTTTTCATCATGTTCTTGAGAGAAGCCTCCTTCTTCTCAACACTGTCGATCATGTTCATGACCTTTGGGTTAATCTTCTTCTTCATTCCCTGGAACCTCTCCGTTACATTCCGCAGAGACGCTTTACATTCGGCAATATTTTGATTCTTGAAATCATAAGGGGTGTTTGGCCGACCAAAGCTGTCTTTCTCCTCGGCAATCCATTCATACTCGTTCTCCATATTTGTCACAAGTTGAGCAGCACTCTGTTGGTCTTTATAAACCTTTTCAAGTTTGTGGCCGAGCTTTTGAAGTTCCAAGGCCTCTTCCGTTATTCGTGCAGCTTTGGACTGTTTAGCTTCATCCAAATCCCGGAGTTCATCGTCGAACCTGGTGAGCTGAGCTTGCTCATCTTCAAGCTGAGCCTGGGCAATATCATGTTTTTCCTACATTTATAACGTTAACACTCCATTTTCTCGGATATGAAGTTCAATAATACTGACCTTAACTCGTGCTTGCTCCTTCACCATTTCCTCAACCTCTTCCACCTGAGCTTTCAAAATCTGCTCAGCTTCCGCCAATTGCTCCTCAGCAGTTGTCAAATCACTTCCAGCTTGCTCCGATTCCAACCTGGATGCTTGGAGCTCCTTCTGGAGGGTCTTGACTGAAACAGAGTTCTTGCTAAGGGACTTTTTCAATGAATCGAGTGAGGACTCAAGTTCTGCAAGCTTGCTATCCTTGTTATTGCTGAATTCACTCATGTCTTTCTCAATTCGTTTAATATCCTTTGATGCCTCAGCGTGACGAGCTTTAGCATCAGTGATATCATTTTTCAACTGGGTAATGTTATCTCTCATCTCTTCCACGGCGTGAATGATCTGGAGAAACGTCAGCCGGCTTCTCAATCAATATAATGTAACGTTCACTTACAGAAGACGATGAATTTCCATTTATCTGCTCTTCCGTCAATTTAATCTCGTGGTTCTTAAGATCAAGCTCCTGCTTAGTTGAATGAGCAAGATCCATTTTCTTCTTTTCCCTGGCCATGGTATCCTGCAGTATATGGAGGGCTCTCTCTTTGGCTTTCAATTCCATCATAATGCCATTCAATTTTTGCAAGATAAGGAGAACACCGCTTGAATTTGGGGCACTGCCACCAGATAATGTCCCCGAAGGGTCATAAACATCACCTTCCAGGGTCACACTTTTCATACGAACAGCAGGGTCAAAGGTCACCTTCTTCGCGGTTGCTGCGTCATGACAAATCAAGGTAGAGCCAAAAACGTATTGCATGGCAGCAGTAACCTCCTCATCATAACCTATCAGTGATAATGCAAGATCCACCTTTCCAGGAGCCAAATTGGTTGCCGCCCCTATTTTCTCAGCTGATGCCTGGAATGCAGCTATCTTGTTCAAAGGGATAATTGTAACGCGTTTTCGAAGTTTGCCGTTCTGCAAAAGTGCTGTGCCAGTTTCTGCAGTATCGACAACCACATTATAAAGACGGCCTCCGGCACAAATTTCAAGGGCAGTAGCTGCTTCAGAATGGTTCTTGTCAAGGGTGAACAGTTGTGCAACCAGTCCCTTTACTTTGGACCTGTTAAAATCAGGGTAAGGATCCGAGTAGTTGAAATCGATGTTTGCAACCCTTCGTTTCAAGCCATCAGCTTCACTTCGAAGGTCACGTATGGCCCTTTGGAGGTTTGATTCTTCCTCGTACATCCTCTCCTCCTTCCCGGGCTCAAATCCCTGTTTCGCCAGTTCTGCCTCAAGCTTTTGAGCTTGCTTTTTCAGAGATTCTAGATCTTTCAATAACCCTTGATTCTGTTCTGCAGCTTTTTTTGCCCTGGGTTCCTCCTCTTTGATGCGCTTTTCCAAATGAGAGATCTTGAGCTTTGCTTGCTCCTGTTCTGTGGCAGCCGCACTGGCACGATTTCTAGCATCTTGAAGCTGCCCTTGATAACCGTTACCTTGGCCCTCTTTCGAGGCAACACCCGTTTGCAACGTCTGCAAGAGCTCCTCTTTTTGCTCTACCTCAGCTGTCTGTGCATCAAAGTCTGCTTTGGCTTTGTCATATTGTGCCTGTAGCTTGTCGTAGATTTGTTTCTTCCCTTTCAGGTTGGCTTGCACCTCGGCGAGAGCTTTTTCTGCGGCTTCTTTCTTACTTGTCTCTTCACCCATGCTAGATTTTTTCAAGTCAATCGACGTCGACAATCTAACCATCTCATGGGAATAACTCTTCACTTTATCTTCCAACGCCTGGAACTTCCCTCCCTTCCTCAATTCTTTGTCGCGCGCCTCCTTAACTTTTTTCACGTCTTCTTCCAGATTCGCAATTTCGCCCTTCAACCTGGTCGCGTTCGCTTCCAAATCTTCAATCTTTTGTTTTCTCTTGTCGACTTCTTCTGCGCTCAGGCGTAATCGTTCCCCGTACTTGAGATAGTCATGGGCAACAACAAGCCTTGTTAACCGTTCAAGATCACTTTGTGTTTGCTGGAAGTCAAGAAACGCTCGCTTCTCACCCCTCAGCTTTTCCAGCTTGGGTTCGATTTCCTCTTGCAATAATCCCTCGATCTCCCGAACTTTCATCTCCTTCTTGGCCATTGTCTTCGCTGCCTTCTCTTTCCTGTCCTCAAACATTCGGGTTCCAGCAGCTTCCTCAATCATAGCTAATATCTCAACAGGCTTCATATTCAGCACTTTTGTTATCCGGCCCTGCATAATCAGGAAGTTCGGGTTATTTATATTTAGCTGCACGCTCTGAAAAAGGTTCTGGACCGTTTGTTGCTGCGCGCGGTGGCCATTGATCAAGTACTTGCTCGTTCCACCTAGAACTATTTGCCGAGTGACTGAAATGGTGGCATACTCCTCGAATCCAATTGGTGATATCGATTTATCGCGGTTATCGAAAACAATTGTGACGCTGGCTTTGGTAACTCCGGCCTGGCCTCGCTTATATATAAGGTCTTGTAGGTTTTGAGCGCGGACGGTGCTCATGTTGGTAATACCGAGCACAAAACATATACTGTCAAGGATATTGGATTTACCACTACCGTTAAGGCCGGTAATAGAATTGAAGGATTCATCCCTATCCGGGAAGCTCGGGCATCAGCCTCACAGTTGCAGTGAAGTAGTGAGAACGCGCATGGTGGGGTACACGAAAGTGCTCTGCGACGCTGGACAATCTTATCACTCACCACCCAGATATAACCGTCCGTACCGCATAGGATTTAAATCCCTAATTTGAGACGAAAATTAGCCAAATCCAGTCATTGAGGTTTCATTACTCCCGCTACTCCTGGGTTATTCAGCCGCTCACATCTATGATAACCTCAATAATCCTCATCGTCGCGTCCTGCTATGACTTATTCCACAAGAAAAAAAAGGAAATCGACTCCGAAAAAATGAAGCGCATAGAATAAAGGAAGGACCGAGCAATCAAATCAAGCGAATGGTTCTGTATTTCGCGTAGCTGCTTGTTATGCAACGTGAACGGTTGATGTTTAGCTGCGGCTCGAACTTCGCTGTGTATTTACTTTTGTCTTTTTTAGGCTAAAACAAAATAGGTGACCTCACACGGCACGTGATCTAGCCGCCAGCCGCCGGCCGTCTGTCGTCCTACTCGTTTTGATATAGACTAACAAATGGGGAAGAGAGAAGTGAAGGATATTAAAAAACATACAAAGCAGCACAGAACTATCGAATTTCTTATGCTAAATCCATACCCCTTTGAGGGTTGACTAACCCTGCATTACCTCCAAATGGCAAGATTTGTAATAGATGTTGGTATAAACATTTCTCATCTACATTTACTGATCCTCACCAACAAGAGTTTCTCCCTCTTTGAGGCCTTCGACGACCAACTTATGACCCTCACACCGTTCGTAGATGTCCCGAACGTCGTCTGTTAAGGGGGGTCAGTTCCTGTGTTCAAAGAGTCCAGACAGGGAGAATAGCTTACCAGTCGTGGTTTCGAAGTGGCTTGTCGAATCGTAGCTCTTCGAGATGTAAATGTTATCGCTCTTGCCATCCTCAAGTGGCTCGTAGAGTGGGATGGGAGGACCCATGAACATCTCCTCAATCTTGCCCAGGCGGTCAAGACCTGGCTTGAGCTCGAGGTGGTGGTTTGCTTCGCCTTCAGCGATAGTAGAGACAATGGCAATATAATAACCCTTGGGGCAGACGTTGTGGGCAGACGAAACCATGGCGATATAGATATCTTGATAAAGAAAAAGGAAAACAGAGAGATTAGCTAGGCTGAACGACTTATAAGATGGTGAAGCGGAAACATACCGTGCTTTCTTCCAACTTGGGATTGAGGAATGATGAGTTGAAGAGAGTCGCTGTCGTCCGTCTTATCGATGGGGTGGTTCAAGATGCAGATCGCTTTCAACAAATGACCAACAACCTTGGTCTTCTGAGGGAAGTATGAAGGGTCGGCAATGATCTTCTTGGTCTTGGTGGTGAAGGAGAATCCCTCACCGGGCTCGCCTCGCTCCTTCATAGTAGCCTTGATGCCAGACACCTTACCATTCTCATACAAGACTTCGTCGACGTTTGCGTTCAACATGTAAGTTCCACCGTGGATGGCTGACAAACGAGCAAAGCCCTGAGGGAGCTCTCCCAGTCCGTAAAGCGGGTAGATGTAGGGAGACTTTCCGTATCGAGCCATGGAGTTGACATACAATCGAATACGGTTGATGGTCTCAGCAGCCTTCCCAGATTCGGAGATGTAATCGTCAGACTGGTACAAAGCCATGGAGTGTCCGACAAAGTCGCGGGTGGTAGTCTCGAGCGAGAACTTGTCGTATACATCCTTCATGGTGCAAGTGGCCATGTTGAGCCCTAAAATTACGTTAGTATCCATGGTGAATGTTTATATATTAGAGATTATCTACTGACCCTGGTGGGTGGATGGGTTTTGCTCATTGAATTCTCCTACCCACTCGAGGAACTTCTTTGCACGTCGTTTCTCGAACATTCCCATAAGAGAGGATCGGAGAGCTTCGCCAGCATCTGAGGGGACCTTAGCAACAGTGGCCTTCGGTCCATCTCCCTGTTGGACGTAGCTGCCAGCAATCTGTCTGAAGTCAAGATATTTGGTAACTTCGGTCGAGACGAGGATGTTGGTCAACTCTCCATTGGACATGAGGAGCTTTGGGACCAAATCGACGTTCCAATCGTTTACTCTGCCGTATTTTGCCCATGGCTTCTCATCCGGCTTGAAAGTCCTGAACTTGCGGAAGAGCTGACCCCCTGTGTCAGCTTTGGCGGTTAAAGGAGGGGCTCCTTCACGGTACATACAGTTTCTATGTTGACGGAAGCTGCTTCACTATATTATCACGATGCATTAGCATATATCTATGGTCAAGCAGCCAGGATTGGAGGCACGAACCCGCCATAGTGATCGTTTCGGTCGATGTGAAGGACCTTCTGCCCCTTGACACTCAAGACGCTGTGTACCGACGATACTGCAGTTAGTGTACAACCCGACTAGCTTCACAAGCAGGAGATGGCAAGGCTATTTACCCTGAGAGGACACATTCCGTCAAGCCTAGGGAGTATCAAGTCAGTCAGGGACGGTTCAGCTCAACCAGCAGTACAATACAATAAAGCGAGCGAGGTGGGGTTCTGTAGGTCCTACCTGTGCCCATCACAATAACGTCATACTCCGGGGACATTTCCTCCATCTTGACAGGTACTTTCTTGCTTGTCTTGGAGATATAGATGGTTGGACGAGAAGTAGAGAAACCGAGAGCTGAGGCTGCAGAAGCTTGGGGAAGATGTGGGTTGGGGAGAGGGAGGAAGAAGAGGTGAAGATGGGTAACTTAGCAAGTCAACATGGATGCCAGCAAAAAAAAAGTTAGCGCTAAGAGTGTTTAGTCTGGGTGCTATCGAAACGGCCAGCAGCCAAGAGGGCATCCATGAACCAGCCCCTGGACAAGAGGCCGTGAGAGGTGAAAATCGCTGCTGAAGGCGAGGATAGTACTCCGCACTGGTAATAAGCATGTCTTACTCTTGTTGGAGCCTGCGTGGCTTTTTGTTTTAGAGACATTAACTGTTCAATTAAATAGTAGTGTACATCATCAGCCACGGGTGATGGATTGTTATACATATGACTGTTATACATTTGAGGGTTGCAGGAAGGAGAGAGCAAGCATTGAATCAAGACCGTAAGATTCATGCAGAAACGGTGGGCTAGTTTCTAGACTTTGCTGCATCCGCCTTAATGTCCTCGACCGGCACTTCTGCAGGCATAGCATCCTCCTGTACCTCGGCGGTTTCTAGGAGATCGTCTTGCTCTGGTCGGTAGCCATTATTATACAGCTCACGAGCCTCCGACCAGGCATTCCACCGTTCTCTTAGGACATGCTTGATATTGTTCTGCGTAACGACGATCTGCAGTTTGATATCGCGTCAGCCATTGACCCAAACAGAAGTGATATATAAACTACATATAGATAGCGTAGAGTATAGGCAATGATCAGAAAGTAAATATCCCAGTAGAATCATACCGAGAGGGTTTAAGCAGTCCCAATCGTGACTCATATCGGCGAGTGAATGGGATTCATCATAAAGAATGCTTTGGCTGGGGGAAAAATAAAAAGGTTAAGGTGATATGCTTACCGTCTTGTCTCTTTCTCCAGCCTCGTACTCTCCGTATCCAGCCTTTAGTCTGTCTCTTTCATAATTGGATGTAGCAATCCGGTTACGCTCCTTTACACACACCCACCATAGACAGTGGAGGTCATCCCATGATTTCTGGCGCAATTCTTGAACAGTCCAGGAGCGGCCTGCAATGTGGCATTGGTCAGTACAAGTTGAGTATTAATGGATGGGAATCATCAAGAAGGGCCCGTACCATGCGCATGTTCCTGCTCTGGGGTGGGGAAAGCCTGTTTGTTTGGAAGAAAGAAGTCCCAGAGACCATGTTCCGGGTTGAGAACACGCGGTTCATGTCTTTCTGGGTTCTCTGGGACCGGTAATTTGAACTTTGACACCGACAATCGATGCTTAAGTCCGCTTCTATGAATTGCAGAGACGCCACGATTCTTGTTCCGATCTTGAAAGGAGGCAGAAGTTGAAAATTTGGACGACCGCGATACCGATATTATGGGGGAGTAGAGGGCAGGAGCCAGAAAGGGGGGAGGCAGCTCGGCCAGCGAGAGGCCTCCATGGCGAGCCAGGTGAGCAATTGAAACCTTTGGACGCATCTTGAAGCTGTTTGAAGCCGGTCGAAGGAGATTTTTCACTTCTTCGACTTCTTCTTGATGTTTGTTGGAGGAAGGGAAAAAAAAAGCTGAAGAGAAGAAAAACTCAACTTTCCTTAAGAAAAGTAAGTGTGTCACGTGATTTATCATGTGACTGGTCTTTTAACCACTTGATCCCTGCGGTTGAAGCGATAAGAAGGAAGAAGCCAAAGTTGTCGATGACCAGGAGAGAAGCAGATAAAGTGATGTGCTAGGAGAGAGGTAAAGGGAGCGGAAGGGGAGTAGTATGGGATAGATGTATTGACTGCTCCTGACCATGATGCCGGGCTGTTGGGCGATAGTATTCGATAGAAGCGGTCGAGGTGGTTATTTGGCTGTAGCAAGAGGCTACTTTGCAGCCACTCCTCGACACAGGCAAGCGGCCATCTCTTAGTCGAATAAGTGTAGAATTAGGCTGCATTGCCTAGCAGAGGGCCTGCTGCTACCTCCCACATGTTCTACAGCATCTTCGAGGTCTAGAGGCAACAAAAAGTTCCATATAAAATAAGCCGTCGAGTGACTGCTGGTTACCTTGGATGGCCCGTGCTTTGCTAACTAACTTATCGCGCCTCTTCCTGATGTGAGCGAAGGTTTGCTGGCAAAAGATGGACCAATTTTAACTGACACTCACACCCAAGCTTCCGGCAACGCAAGATTCACCTGAAACCTCCCGAAGAGACCGTCATTGCTATCGCGCTGTATTCTATATCCTTTCTTTCTTTAGCTGCACCCTTTAGCTACCGCATTACTCCTCCTACCGGCACACTTAAGTGGGCACAGAAGCTCCCTCCGCCAGCATGAATCGGCCAGGTAGGAAGATACTCCCTATACTCAAATGCTGTCCCATGTACAGTTACTCTGGGCCATGTCAAGACAGGTCTTACCTTTGATCTGGTCAAGCTGCTCGTGCGTTTGTCTCTGTGTCGGAATGGATACCTATATGAGATATATCCTGGTTCCAGAAGACGTCCGCCAGCTGTCACAGCTTATATGCCCTTGCTCGAACCCTTCATAAGAGTACGCATGGCTAATAGCTCTTCGTTTGCACTCTATAGGACCAGGCCAACAGCCTATCCGAGGCATGTCAGGCTTCCCGGCCCAACAACAATCACAGAACCGAACCGCAAACGCTGCCCTATTATCCGGCCGGTTACCAAATAGCCAGATGGGTGAGGATGACGGAATGATTACCTTTTGTATCGGAGATGGACTTTGGCTAATTCCAACCTCTCTTTATTACCCCGGATAGGCGGCACCTCTGCGAACTGGGGCTTTGGAGTACCAATGGGCAGCCAGCAAAGAACAGTGAATCCCATGGGCTCCTTTGCACAAAGTGTAGGCGGTTCACAGCCTGCTGCTCCCCTTGACCTCTCGTGAGTAGCGACGACTCTCTCGGCACTGTCTTTGTCCTCCTTTAAAAGACCTTTCTTCTGTTGTTTATTTTTGTTTGTTTCTTTTCTCCTTTCTTCTTCTCCTTCGTCTCTTATTTCTTCAGCAACGTTTGCCTTGCCAGCTTGATATCCCACCGTTGCTAGCATTGATACCCCCCTGGCTATGAGGGCAGATACCAAATCTGGCCATTCCGGCCGCCACTACAAGGCAAAGCCCGTGCTGACTCTTGACCTCGCGTCTCTCAGCGAATTCCCTTCCCTCTCTAGCGGCCCGCAGAACACCACACCAACCCCTGGACAGGCCATCTGGGGCAACACAGGCCAGCGTTCAATCCAGCAGAGTCTCGGGCAGAGACAAGCACAAGGTTCCGTCCCTCCTCAAGCTCCCTCACGAGAATCACAGCTTCAAGCCCAACAGGGGCAATCTCAGGGTCAAGCCCAGGGCCATGATGACCAGTTCCCCTCAACAACGCAGTTCGTCACCCAGCTTGATGATTTCCGTAACGGTGTCCAGGCCATGGGCCAGATGTCCGGCAGCAACCAGCCACAAGCCGGCAGTGTCGATGACTTCCCTCCTCTGAGCAAACAGTCTGAGCAAGGAGGGGCCATTGGCAACCATGCCGGGTCTATGGGGTTCACTGGCTTCTCTGCCCAGACGCGTTCGTCTCTTGGAAACCAGCAGGATTCCAGTAGAATCGCATCTCCTGCAGCTGCAGGCCCGTCTGGTAAGTGAGCATACACGTACACGATTTCAGCTTGGATATATGTTTATATGTTTGTTTTTCTTTTTTGGCTTGAAGGCACGCCAGGACCGCGGCTATCAGCTGGCCAGAACCAGAACGGGATAATTGGACAAGATCACGAGGTGAGTAGGTGACTATAAAACAAAACTATTTTGATACTCGTCCTTTCCTCTTCCAGACGCGTCCTATTGGCTGACCGCATCGCCAACCACCAAAACCAACAGGACAACGCTCAAGCCCAGGCTCAAGCTCAAGCTCAAGCATCCATGATGAGCCAACGCGGCATGGATCCGATGCAGCAGCCACAGCAGCAGCAGAACCCAGCCCAGATGCAGTCTTCTCGCCAGCAACAGCAGCCACCGCAGCCTTCACAGGCGCAGGCTGAGAACGAGGCGCATGATCCCTCACGAGCCGGCCAGACAGCCGAGCAAGCCTCGCTCTCGCAGATGAGCGAACACGATCGGTTCGGCCTAGCCGGGCTTCTACGCATGATCCATAGTGACAGCCCAGACGTTGCGAGCCTTGCTATCGGCCAAGATCTGATGAGCCTTGGACTGGATTTGAACCAGCAGGAGTAAGTATCCGCAGACGCCCTTTGATATGATACGCCAATTTACGCGCGATGGCCTGCTGACTCTGCATATATGCAAAAAAAAAGACCACTGCATCAAACATTTGCATCACCATTTATCTCATCTAATGTGTCCATTCCACTACGGCCAGACTTTACTCTGCCTGCATGCTACAATGTAGCCAATGTCCAGCCACTGCAAAACCGTATACCCAGCTTCAGCGATGAGACTCTGTTCTACATCTTCTACAGCATGCCTCGTGATATCATGCAAGAGCTAGTTGCAGAGGAGCTCATGGGCAGAAAGTGGCGTTACCACAAGATCGAACGCGCTTGGCTGACGCGCGATGACACTTATCCGAACCCCGTTGAGGTTGAGAGAGGTATCAGCGAGCGTGGCGTCTACCTGTGGTGGGATACTAATACCTGGAAGAAAGTCCGAGTAAGTATACATGGTCTCCAATGACACCGCATGTGTTTGCATCGGCTAATTGACGCATATAGCGTGAATTCATTCTTCGCTACGCCGATTTGGACAACCGTCTCGACCCAGGCAGAAACCTTGTCCGAGGAATGCCCTTCCCCCAAGCCACCTAAACCTCTCCGAGAGCCTACTGTGTACCGAGAGGGCTTACGACTGTGTATGATGACTCTGTTTTTTTCTTTTAATGCATGTTTGCCTGACCAGATAATTTTATTATCTGAGGATGCTTCGGCATCTCCTTAACAGGCAGGAAAGGGTCGTACTATAGGAACAAACTTCTGTAGATAGGCTTGAATGGACAACGTTATCAAAAAGAAAATAAGAAAGGGCTAGACCCTCCCCTCTATCCTCGGTATCGATAATCTATATACTGTACGTCTATGTATCTCTATGTATATCAATTGTTGTCCTTCTTTCTTTCTTCTATGGCCAAGTCCGCTACAGCTTCAGCTGTGTATCCATCGGCGTACTGGCCTTGTCATGCTCTCCCAAGACACACAGAGCACCCGTATCCGTCCTGCGAATATCGGCCCGAAGCAGCGCCAGCCGTTTGCCAGAATGCACGAGTTCGCAACTGATGGAAATCTCCGTTCCCTCCGGCGCGGGTCGTAGAAACGTCATGTTAAGCGACCGACTCACTCCACCGACGGAGAAATATCCTCCTAAGGCAAGCAGTAGAGTTGAAGTGCACACGTCAATCAGCGTTGTGGCACATCCGCCGTGCAAATTTCCAAGACCATTGCACATCTCCGGAGCTACGGTTGCAGTGTAGGTGACGCGGGCAGGGGGACCGGAAGTCGCTGATCCAAAGCGGACATGATTGCGGAATATGTCACAGCTATAACCCTGGGATGCGCGTTAGTATATCGAGAGGTGGGAACATCTTGAGTGCCATATGAGAACGGAGGGAAGCACATACTGTGTTTCTGGGGTTGAGGACGATGGCATCGTACACCTCTACGATGCGCTCTGTGAACTTGTCTGCCACCATTGTGTAGTATATGCGTACGGAGATGAATTGGGATCTTTTGGGATCTTTTTCTAGAAGAATATATACGTGAATGGAGGATGGAGCCAGCCCTCCAGGCAGCGACGAAAGCTGAGGGAAGCGGCTGATGCTATTCGTATAGACGGCGTCCAAGATAACTTAACTATGGAGAACGCAGCCGAGGTTAGATAGAGATAGGCTATTCTGAGACTACGCAGAGAGTATGCTGGGTTAGACTAGTTGAACACGGCCAGCAAACTGGCGAATGGCATATACCAAATACCGACGGCGCAAACAGGAGCATGCTCTTGAGAGTAGTTAAGTGTTAGTTAGCTACGCTATGCTTAGAGGATCTTGATGAAGCCAGGAGGAGCCCATGTGATAGTAGGCCTATTGATGGCAACACAAGGGCAGATCGCATGTAAACCAACAATGACACTGAAGACCACATTCGAGGCATCAATATGGGCTGGCCGTTCGGGACAAGAGAAGAAGAATAGCAAAGCTCGACGTCGTTCATTCTTTTCATCTTCGTTCAAATTTGAACAACACAGGACACGCAAAAAAGTCATATCACGTGACTAGCGCAAAGTTGAAAGTTGAAGACGAAGAACAGCTTCAACTTCAGCTTCAGCTTCAAACGAGCAGCAGAACAGACATTGATACCCTTCAAGAACGCCCTCACAGCACCACTTTGCAGCTGCAGACGACCCGAAGAACTCGCAGAATCCAAAAAGCAAGAGCCACGTTCGAGAAGTCGAGAACAATTACACACACCAGGGTCGCCAAACATGGCGAGCTCCGACGCCGCGCAGACCGACCCTCTACTCGCACTCAAACGAGCTCTGAGCTCCTCCTCCAGCGGCCCGGTGCTGACGAGCTCACCCGAACTATCGACGGAGCATGCAACAGACGACATCTCCAAGGCGACACACCTGTACCTGACACAGCCGATAGCACAGAGCATACCGCTCTCGACGCCGACGCGGTTCGTCTCGGCGGCCGCAAACCAGGCCATTGACCTACGAAGCATCTACTTTGCGTGGCTGAAGAAAGACGTGGCTATACCGGAGTACATTGCATCAGCGCAGGAAGTGAACGATGCGCTGGGCTCTGCGGGAAAAGTGCTGAATCTGGTGTTTGTGGAGAAAGTCGACTTGATCAGTTGGCTGGAGGGAGCGTCTGACGAGAGCGAGTACATCAAGCCGCTTGAAGGGAAAGAGGCGGGAGAAGCAGCAGGCGAAGCAGGCGGTGCTGCTGCTCCGGCTGGTCCTGCAGCTGTATCCGCGAAGGAGGCAGATGTAGCTGCGTCAAGCGTGCCGGCCAAAACAGCTGCTGGAGCCGTTGGAGCCGGACCTGCCACGAGCCGGACCGGCAAGACTGTTGATGCGCGGCTACAAGCTATATATAACGGCGAGCGCAAGCTAGGAGACAGAAACACGGTGCTACGAGGCATCAAGCCGACGGTAAGGCCAGCTCAGCTTTCTTTTTTTTTTTTTTTTCTGTTTCTTTAACTCCACTCCCAACTACCCAAAATGAAAAAACTTACCACTGACAAATATTTATTTGCCTTGAACTCTTACCAGGACTTCTCACATATTCGCAAGACAGCCGAGCTGTTCCTGGGCCGCAACAGGAGCCGAGCCGCCGTGTCGTCGAAGGGCGGCAAACCCACACCCACGCCGGGACCAGGCAGCATCCCGAAAAAGCCACTCGACCCAACAGCCACTCCCTCGGGGACATCCTCTGCCTCGTCTTCGTCCCGCCGGCCCAACCCGATCATCCTGGTGTCGCCATCCGCCTCCTCCCTACTACGCATGTCGAATATCAAGACCTTCCTGACAGAAGGCATCTACATCCCGCCCGACCACCCTTCGCTCGCCAAATCCACCAACTCCAACCTGCTGCACCTCTCGCGCGCACTACAGACGATACCCGACACTTCTCGGTCTGCCACGGCGCCTGCCGGTGCAGGCGTAACTGCCGGAGCCGCCAACACCCTCCGCAAGCCCACGCTGTTCATTCTGGTCGATAGCACCGCGGACTTCAAGCCGGATTACTGGAACCGCGTGGTAGCCGTGTTCACGACGGGCCAGACATGGCAGTTCAAGTCGTACAAGTGGTCGACGCCGCAGGAGCTGTTCAAGCATGCGACGGGCATTCACGTCGGCTGGCGAGGCGAGGAGCCGCCGCGGGAGGTGAAAGGGTGGGGGAGAGGGGTGCGCAGCTTCGCGATCGACCGGTGGGATGAGAAGAGCGCAAATGTCCCTGGGGGAGGGGCGAGATGGAGAGACCGTGGCGTGGTGGAGGGTATCTGGTCTGCGATTGAAGAGGGCATGAGGGCTCGAGGATGGCAGGCAGGCAAGTAAGTAAGTAGACAGACAGACAGACAGACAGTTGTTCTGATGGAGGTCGGGTTTAGCTATTTTGTATTCTTTTATAACGTTGTGTACCTGTTCTTGTTCGGTGGGTTTGGTTTTGTGCATGCATGTATGTGCCGTTACTTTTCCCATTATCTCGTCATCATTACTGTAGAAGCCCGTTCTGGCGTAGCTGCAGCATGTACGGAGTCCCTATAGCAGGATCTGATTATTATATACCGCATCCGACGCCTGGCGTGATGTCCACATGGCGAGCAGCAAAGGGGGGCCCCAGCCAGCCAACGAGAAGAAGCAAAAAAGGGGGTGTTGCAAGTGCCGAGTTTGCGAGCCATGAGGCCCAGGAAGAAGCAAAGAGAGCAGAACATGGGTTTCTTGTCTATTTTTCCTTTTTCTTTTTTTTTTTCTTCTTCTGCTATCGATCGTCGGCGATCGCAAGCCGAGGCTGGAAAAGTTAACCTTGGGGTGTTGCGAAAAGAAAAGAAAAAAGAGAGAAGACGTCCAGGGTAAGTGAAGCGTAAGAGTATTACGGTTACAGCCCAGCCCAGCGAGCCAGCCCGGTCAACCCCAGTCAACGCGGTGAGCCAGTAAGGTGGTGTGGACTTGGGCAAAGGAATGTAATTTTGAGCTGAGCTGGAGATGGGCTGAGATGAGATGAGATGAGCGAGCCGATGGAGTCGGGCGAGAGTTTGAAGAAGAATAGTGGATATGATACTCCGTAATATACGATTGTTTTATGTGGGATGGAACTAGAGCACAGGTAGATGACATGATGATGGGGTGATGCGATGCGATGCGATGGAAGGATGGATCAGATAGCCCGCCTTTTGCCGCGTGGGAGATGGAAGAGAAAACACACAAGTAGACAAGACAGTAGTAGGAAGGAGAAAGAGAAGTGGGAGCAAGAGAGGAAGAGAGGAAGAGAGGAACAGGAGGATGGTATTAGCCATTAACAGGAGTAAAGGGGGGGGGTGGGTGGAAAAAGTGGTAAGTAGATAGATAATAGATACGCCATCCGAATGCTTTCTTTAGTATGTCATCTCATGTAAGTAAGTAGGAAGGATATGTAAAAAAAAAAACGTGCAGAAGAAAGGGAGAGGGGAAGGGGGTATGTATGTATAGCAGACAAATGAAAAAAAAAAGAGAAAGAAGAAGGTGATATAACGACCAAATCGCTCAAGGGTCAGAAGTCTATGAAGAAGTTAAGAAGAAGGATATAATAAAAGGAATAAAAAAAAAAAAAAAGGAACAAGACGTGAGAAAGTGAGGAGACGAGGAGATTCGTGAAAGGTGGGGGGAGAGGCATACTTTTTTCAAGAGATGCGTTAAAGATAGAAAGGACATTTTTTGGTTGGTTGGTAGGATGGATGGATTGATAGTGCAAGTCGCTGTTTGTGCCGTCTAAAAAAAAAGGAGTTCCGCGCCGTGTCCGTGGTTGTACGTCAAGAAAGAAGAGAGAAGAAGAAGAAAAGAGGTGAGAAGGAACGAATCAGAGATCTATCGGGATCGGTGGGTCTATGATCGGGTACTTCTGCTCATGGACCGTTCGGGCAAGGGGGTAGGCGAGTATGATCGGCCGCTGGTGGTTGGGTTGAGGTCAAAGTCGTGCTCCTGGAGGACGGCAGCATATTTCGGATCACGAGCGAACTTCGGCACGGAGTCCTGGAATTCGATTAGATAAAGATGAAGTTATTGGGAGACAGGGGAGGGGGGGTTAACGGGATGGACCTACGGAGGACATGAGTTTGAAGACGGAGAGCTGGGCGGCTTCGAACAGCTGGACGACGTCGGTGAGGGACTTGACCATGGAGGCGTCGTCGCCGACCGCGCGGGTCATGCGACTGGCCAGGCTGTTGCGCAGAGCATGGTCGATGTTGAGCTCGCATGGCGAGCCTGGAGCCAGGAAGGCATTATACAGGCCTATCACTGTTAGTACAACACTTAAAAAAAGAAAGCAGTTAAAATAGTTAGAAAGACCTACCGTAAGCACTGGCGAGGGTCTCTCTGACGGTGTCCATCTTGGAAAAAGCGCCGGCCTTCTCGGCACGGCGGTAGTTTGCAGTAAAGTCCGAGACGTCGAGGTAGAAGGACATGTTCTCCTCACAGAGCGAGTAGCGCAGGAACTCTCGGAAGAGCAGCCGCAGGGCCGGGTCCTGGATGATGTGATGCAGTCTTGCGTTGTTGGAGTCTCTGGGAGCCACGGCCGTGGTGGGAGCCGAGGAGGTCGAGGGAGTAGATGAATTGGGCGGGCGTTCCCTGGCTATCCAGCCGCAGATCCGCTGGCCGTGCTCTGTGACGCCGTAGATGGCGTTCTTGGTGGGCTGGAAGAGCGTGGCCGACGGGTCGTGGGCCATGTACGACTTGTCCTCGAGGAAACAGGCTATCATGCCCTGGCGGACGAACAAGGAAGCGATCTCCATGGTCTCGCGGCGGTCGATGGTGGTGCAGCAGTCCATGAGCCATTCCATAGCCGCTTTGCCGGTAAAGGTGTTTTGGTATAGCTTGTCGCCTATCTTGCGCTCGCGGGCCATCTTGACGCCGACGACGCCGTTGGTGTAGTCTGAGAGGGAGTCTGAATCGGAGGAGGAAACGGAGGACTTGATGTTGGGCCCGTCCTGGCCGGCAAAGCGACGGAAGATGACTTCTATGGTCCCCTTGTCGTTTGAGATGGCGTCTGTGACACTGTCTCGCTCGAGGATGACGAGCTGCATGGTATTCCGGGGACTGTCGATGATGTCCATGATGTGGCGGGCGGTGATGCCGTTCCGCTGGCAGAAGCGGTGCAGGATGTTGATCCCCTTGGGAGTGAGCTGGTAGAGGGCGCCCTTGAGCGGGAACTGGGAGGAGAAGCGGCCGTCGACGGACTCGATGAAGCGAGCGTCGACGAAGCGCTGGCAGACGCTGCGGGCCATCTCCTTGGCCATGGAGAAAGTGGTGGTTGTGGTGGTGGTGACGATGCGGGAGGGATCCTTGGGGTCTGGCATGCGGTTGGACTGGGAGAACTTGAGGGAGCCGAGATTGTTGATGGCCTCCTCTGCGGTGAAGGTGTGTTCGAACTTGGAAAAGCGCACGCGGTGTGTCTCGAGCTTGAGACTGACCATCAGGGTCGAGAAGAGGTCCTTGAAGTCGCGGGTGAAGGGGCGCTCGTCGGTGGTCATCCGGAGCAGGCGAGAGGATGTCTGGTGCATCTTGGAGGCGGACTGGCTCCCGGCCATGGCTGCTGCTGGTGGCCTGTCGTCTGACTCCCAGCTGTCCGGGTCTCTAAAGGGATCTTCTTCTTCTTCTCTGGTCTGCTGTAGCTGTAGTTGTAGCTGCTGATGGTGGTGTTGGTGGTGGTGGTGCTGTTGGTGTTGGTGTTGGTGTTGTTGGTGGTTGTGGTTGTGGTTGTCGGCCGCGGCGGGTCTCCCCAGGCTAAAGGCAGACGAGGTCTTTTGGATGGCAATTGCAGCAAGCGAGCGCCGCGACGAGCGAGACGGATGGGCAAAGAAGGCCTTGCCGGTGGAGGACGAGGAGGAAGAAGAAGAAGAAGAAGAGGTAGAGGCTGACGGGTTGGAGTTCGAGGTGGAGGTCGAGGCCGCAGACGGGGATGAAGCCTTGCTGCCAGCGACCTGGGAGTTGCTGGAGTTTGTGCTGCAGGAGTTGGTGTTATTATGATGATGATTACTGCTACTGTTGAGGCTGCTGCTGGCGATGTGGTCTTCGAGCGGGATGTAGGGCCGGTGCTTGAGATGCTGGTGGAGGGAGTTTGATCTGTCGAGCGCAGGCCTGCTCATTGAAAGAGATGTTGCAGGAGACTATACAGCGGGCGAGGTAGGGCTAGAAGAAGAAGAAGAAGAAGAAGAAGAAGAAGCAAGGGGCCGGGGAGGGCAGGGCATGAAGGGATTATCAAAGAGAGAAGAAGAAGAAGAAAGAAGAAGAAGAAGAAGCGAGAGAAGGAGAGGAAGAGGCCAGGAGGAAGCGGAGATTGATGTTTAAGGACGAGGACGAAGAAGACGAAGAAGAAGAAGAAGAGAAGAAGAAGAAGAAGAAAAAGGCGAAACAACGTGGTGGAAACTCTCTTCTTTTTCTTTCCTGCGTCCCTTGAGCGCTACGACTAGACTACATACAAGAGGACGAACTAACTAAACTCACCCAGACAGGGCCTTACTTTTTAACCCTCAAACTTCGTCCTTTTCTTTTCTTTTCTTTTCTTTTCTTTTGCTCTTAAACTAAGGTCCAAGCTAGCTTACTTAGCTCTTAGTCTATTATCGTCAACCGTCATCATCACTCACCTCCCGCCGGCCTGCTGCTGGCCTCTTCTTCACCATCTTCATCATCATCATCATCTTCTTCTTCTGCTTCTTCAGCCAAGCCGGGTAAAACGACAGAGAGAGAGAAGGGGAAAAAAAAGGGGGAAAAAGCAAAGGCAGCGGTAAGATTACGTGACGATACGAGGGAGGCAGCCCCAGCGCGTGGGCGCCACGACATGACAGGGATTAGACCTCGGGCAGGTCAGTAAGGAAAAACGTGGCTGTAAGGACGTGACAGTATGTGACATGACAGTACGTGACAGTACCATATGCACCTGCCCTGGCGCAGCGGAGCTTCTCTTCTTCTCTTCTTCTCTTGCTCTCTCACTCCCTTTACTTACTCCCCTTACTCTTCGACTTCTTCTTCTCCTACTTCTTCTTCTTCTTACTGACTCTGTTACTTTAGTCTCTCTAGCACGCCGTCTAGTCTCTTCCTCCTCCTCCTCTGCCTCTCTTCTCAGCTACTACGACTCTGAAACTGGCTGAAACACGACCCGCCCGCTGCCCTCGACCGCCGAACCGTCCAGGGGGGCCTTGTCCCATCTCCATCCCCCATGCCGACGCCCATGCCCGTCCCTTGTCCATCGCCATGCCATGCCTTTCTCCTGCCATGCCGCCATGCTGTCTGTCCATGCCCATGCCCATGCCCATATCCATGTCCATGCTACGGTGTGATCGGTGCTCAAGACTCGACTTCATTCCACTTCTTCCACTTCTTCTAATTCTTCTACTTTACTTCTACTTCGTCTACTTTGTCTACTTCTACTTCTTCTACTTCTACTTCTACTTCTCTTGTGTTTACTTTCTTCTTCTCCTGACTCGCCCTTCTTCGTCTTTTCTTCTTCTTCTTCGCTGCTTCGGCCGCCTCCGCGCTCCGCCTGCTTAGTCAGAAAAGCGGAGACGGCCCTCTTTCTCCGCCGCAGGCACGTGGTCTCACCGCCTCAGCTTAGGTAAGTCGGCCACGTGGCATCAGGGGCTAGGCCGCATGCAGTTAGTCTGCTCGATGTGCGATGGGAAAAACTTCGATAGTCGATGGTCGATAGTCGATAGAGATGCAGACGATGGATGAAGGATGGAGATAGAACATATATAAAAGAGGGAATAAAGAAGTTAGCGAGTACGGGGTAGAGAGAGAGTCGCGTGGTCTTTTTTTTTCCTATCGCTCTTCTCTCTCTCTCTCTCTCTTTCTTCATCTCGTCAACAAACAAACAAAAGAAAAGAAAAGAAAACAAGACGAAGAAATGGAGCCCCTTCTTCTTTTTTTCGCCTCTTCTTTTCTATTTATATCCTCTCTCGCTCGCCATCACATCACATCAACAACAAATAATATTAAGGTAAAACTCGAATTGCTCTCTCCACGCCCTCATGCCATGTTGTTTTTTTTTTTTTTTTTTTTACCCATCCCGTCTCCCGCCTCGACTCGACTTGCCCGACCAGATGGACACCAAAAAAGCAAGGTTTAAGGGGGTTTCGACGAACAGATGTGAGTAACAATAATAAGTAAGTAATAATAAAATAAAATAGTAATAAAAAAAAGATGAAACAGCCTCCAATCTCTGCCCTACCCCCTCCGCCCCCTTGCTTGACACTACTGGAGCATTCCTTTTTTTTTTTTTTTTTTTTTTTTTTTTTTTTTTTGGTCCTTACTTGCTTCTCAACTTCCCACGTGGCGAGGGAGGGCGGGAAGGGGAGCTCGTCGTTTCGGAAGTTAATGACCGGGGGGGAGGGCAAGACTTTTAAGACCTTTTTAAGATGAGAAGGGCATTCCATACGGAAGCCCCCTTTTAAAAGTTGACTACTCCTCCTAGTAGTAAGATAATTACTTAGTTAGCATCTACTCTTGACGGGCTGCATGTCAAAAAAAACTATGACATGTCGGTCGGCGTCTTTCGGAGGTAAGGAGGCGGATGGTCCGGACATAAGGCCGTATGCACAACAGTAAAATAGAGAGAGAGAGAGAGAGAGAGAGAGCGGCGGACGGTGGAAGGAGATCTGTCCGGCCGCCAGAGTCAGGTCGCCGACCAGAAGGGGCCCGTCGAGGGAAGTCTATCTCACCGCTAGCCTTAGCCTCTTTCCTACCTTCATCATATTATTATTATGACTTTACTTACTCTCCCACTAGCCAGCCCAGCCTCAAAGTGAGTCCCGTCCTCTCGTCGGATTCTGTTCGGAACTGGGTCGGCGCGGTGGCCCTGCAGGCATCAAATACAGACTTCCATTACTAGTTGTTTGTTTACATCTCCGTACTGTACATACATACATACATACATGCGTTCGTACGTAACAACAAACGACATGACAACACTAAGGCCAACAGCTGTTAATATCAGACTTAGTCTCGTCTCGGCAAGCCCCGTCCCAGTCGACGCCCAGCATTACACTTCATGTATGGACTTATTATTATATATCCATCGCATATATAGACTTACAGCATACAGCACACTACTGGCGTCAAGGCTCACTCGCCAACGGCCCTACCCAAGGCATGCATGCTCGACCACATGGTACCCTGGTCCGCCTGCCTGCCCTTGTTTCTCCCTCCTGCAGTCTTGGGCCCCTTCTTGGTATTCTTCAGGCGTCTCCATGGGTTGGTAATCAGGTCAGATTCTTCGCCCTCCCAAGACTTCGCGGCGCCTTGGCTGCGCTGCTCGGTCATCATCATCTAATCCTTCCAAGACCGCAAAGAAGAAAACATCACGCCAGGACGCGCAGGACTTCGCTGGACGCCCGGCGGACGGCGACGGCGACGACGATCAGCCACGAGGAGTGGCTCAAGGTGCTCTCTTTCTTTCTTTCTTTCTTTCTTTCTTACTTATGGAGTACAGTCCAGTCGGTCTTTTGTCGGTGGGAGCAGCTGTGGCATGACTGATGCATGCAGGCCCGTCGGTTGTCTTGTCGACTGGTTTGGCGGCAGGGCAGGGGCATCATCAATAATATTCCTCACATCGCATCGCATCGCATCGCATCCGGCGGCTGTTTTTTTTTTTGTTCCGGGCCTGGCTGTTCTAGAATCGATGTTTTATACCCTTGATCGCAAAACATCTTATTGTTCTATCGGACGAATAAATAAATGCTGCATGCCTGTAAATAATAATTCTGGTGAATAATACTTCCCTTACATACATAACCAGGCGAACGACGACAGGGTCCCCTGCCCGTCCCCCCTTCTCCAGACTGAACATCATTCGATGCATCTACCGAGCCCCCCTCCCCCCTCCCCCTTCTTCCTCCAAGATGCGTTATGCGTCGATCATCGTCGGTTGAGTCAGACTTTTCTTCTTTGCTTCTTTCCATGCTGTTCAACCACGCGGTGATGTGATGTGATGCTCGCTCCATAGTTGTACTCCGTACCGTGACATATGAACATTCCAGTGGGAACAGTTCTTCTCTCCTGCTGTGCGATGGTGACGGTGACGGTGACGGGCCAGCCCACCGTGCACCAAAAAGTACTCCGTACAAGTACACATACCCTACTCAGTACTTGGGCGGTACTTCCATACCCAAACTTGAGATGCCATTTCTTCAACGTCATTGCCGGCCAGGATGGAGATTTCGTCACCTCTCTCTCGTCTGAAATCTCAATTTTGGAGCCAGACATGGGGCTTTCCAAGTTGGGTCATCCAGTCAGTCTGTTCGTTGGTGGTGGCTTGACCTTTGATCGACTCTTCGAGCGAACACCCATTTCATCATCGTCAGTCGCCAGCGAGTGAGTGGATGTGGTGATTGCAGGCCAAAAAGCAAAAAAGGGCTGGCTGGCTGTGTATCGAAGCCACGCGTCAGGTAAAAGAAAGAGAGAAAAGAAAAAAAAAAAGAACAAGCATTATTACTTATTGTTTAATTAATTAATTAATTAATTAATTATTATTATTATTTTGTATAGTTATGCGACTATTCGAGTGTTGCTGCTCATCGTTCGCCGAGGGTGATACAGGTCACCAAGAGCTGAATAATGCTTACTTATTCTTTCCTTTTTGCCCTGGGGGGAGGTAAAGCAACAAGTGAATTATTATTTATTGGCTTTTTACAGAGAAAAGGAACACGTTCCATTGAGTTTCTGTCTTCTTTTCTTCTTCTTAAAACCGGCGTTTGGGCGGCACTGATGGGCCATCGATCGTGGCTGGGGCTGGGGGGGCAAGCGAGAGAACTGATCGACCGCCCGCAAAAGTATGTATCAATCACCGTTGCCCCAATTCTACCACTTCGATTGCGTTCCTACCTGCCTCCAAAAGCGTGGAAAAGCGGACAGGAGTTTTGACGACCATTTTGCTTCTCTTGATGACGAGATGGTATTGTAAATGGGCCAACAAGAAAAGGGGGAGGGGGCAAGCCAGACGTCATCGGTTGGTGGGACGGAACTTGGGCTGCCAAAGGAAGTTCTTTTTTGCCTGTCCGCTTGCCTGGCCTGCCCGTAAGGACTAAGCATATTGATACTGTACATACGGCAGGGGTAGGCGCAGGTGGTGGTACAGTTATTTACGGTTCGGTGCAATGACTGGAACGCTGTGTTTGGGTAATTCGTGGGTAATATATATCGAGGTTCCAGAAGTTACCAAACGGTGCCAGAAACTGTTGGACCGGAAGGAAAAGAATCGCCTGGCTGGCCCCCCCTTCACCTAACTTACCCGTCTCTCCACCATCTGCCCAGTGCCCCGGCCCCGGTAGAGCCTAGAGCTGCGACAGCCTCTTCAAACGACACCTCGACCCGGAACATTTTGCCGTCTCCCATCCCATAGCCATTGACAAGCAACACAAGGCCCCAGTCAACCAGCTTCTCCCACGCTTCTTTGGCAGCCTCTTTACCCCATACCCGCCCCGGCGTTGCCGCTGCGCCAGAGGCCGATGCCGATGCCTTGGCTACGGTGAGCAGGCGCACGTACTCGCTGTAAACGGCCGCAAAGGATAGGCTAAGTGATGCTGCCGTTGCCGTGGCCGTTGCCGTTGATTCATGCAGCGCCGTTAGCCGGGTTGCCGTAAGTAGTAGCGACAAGGGTAGGGAGACGTTGCTTGATGAACCCGAGAGCTGGGTGAAGGGAAGCGGTGCTGGGTCTGGACAGGCCAGCGAGTTTGATGCAAAGGACTGCGTGCCGGGGAGCTCCGCTTTGGTGCCTGCCACGGAGCCTAGTGCCATCGACGTTATCGGGACCAGCGCACTGCGGAAGAAGTCCCGCACACTCTTGCTTCGGTAGTATATCGGCTCGAGATGACGTGCAAACTCGGCATCTTCAAATAGGTCCTACCAAGCAGGTTATTATTTTAACATATTATAGTAGGGGGATTATATGTTTATATATATATATATACTATGTTTTGTTTGTTAGATTGGGACAATTGCGTCGACGTACCTGGATATAATTGTTCCACCCCTTTAGGAGAATTGGTCCCTTCTCGCCGTCCAACGGACAAGAATCCACCTCATCACCTTCAATCTTCAACGAAGCCATGCATATATCCACAAACTCAACAAAACTCCTGGGCCGAGGGAGAAACACACGTCGATGGCTGAACCTGCTCTTCACCCGCTTCTCAAGGTTCTCAGTAACCTCAACCTTCGTAGTGAGCCCCAACACCGCAACAGGGGCCTTCTTTGCCTGTGCAATGTCAAACAAGTTATACAGCAGCGTTTGTCGCGGGTGATACGAAAACAAGTCAAACTCGTCCAGCACGATCACCACCGATTTCGTAGTTGTCATGCCATTCTCCTCAGGCAAGGGACCCGTTATTTCTTCAGGGTGGGATAGCAACGCAAGCAGCGACGCCATCGTGTCAGCGTAGCTTGACGGCTTTTCCAGATCATCCTGCGGATCTATCTCGCGCCCCAGCTGCTGCCATATCTCCCGCAGAGCAACCTTGTCGTCTGTGTGCAGGAATCCATTCAGACGAACAATGTGGAAGTCGTCGGCATTGGTTTTCGACAGAGCTGCTAGGGCCGTGTTTACCACCGCGGTTTTCCCACTCCCTCTGGCCCCGAGTAGCAGAAGTGAGTTCCCTTCGCCTGCCACAACGGTCTGCTCCAGCAGCTGGAAGACTGTCCGATATTCATTGTCCAGTCCCTTGAGTGGTATCAGGCGTTTGCCGTTTAGCTTTTCTAGAATGAACTCGCCGAGCGGTGCTAGCATTGGTTCCAGACCGTGCTCTTCACATAGCGATATGAACTCCTCGGCATAGGCAGGTTGATTGACTGTCTCAGGAGGCACTTCAAGCTCCGTCTGAAGCTGCATCGCCGCATCATTAGCCACTAACTGCGCTATAGCTAGCTCGTCCTCGTCCTCGTTCTCGCGATCACACGGAACTTCCCACACATCGTCTGTACCACTGACGCCCTTTTTCTCTTTCTTCCCTTTCAATCGACCATCTCTTTCGTCTTGCTTGTCCTCCTTCTTGTTCTTCCGCCCAGTCGTAGTTGTAGTAGTAGTGGTTGTAGTGGCAGCGGTTGGTTTGCTTGATTTCCGTGCCAATTTCTTCGTTGACGACGAACCAGCTATACTAGTCTTTGTCTTTCTGCTTCTCTTCCTATTCTGTGTATCCTCTTCCTCCACAACCCTCGGTCTCGGTGGGCCTGCACTGGTGCTCACGACGGAATTCCCCGTCACCTTTATCCGGGCACTTCGTCTCGTAGACTGTGACGGCGCTTCATCGTCTTTCTTCTCCGCTACTTCTTCTGTACCTGCATTGGCGGTGCTCTCGGGTTCAGTAGCAGGAATGTTATTCTTGCGCGTCTTTCGAGTTCGGGTTGGACTGGGAGATTCTCTCCTCTCTTGTTCGGGGTCAAGGTCTGGGTTGGACACTCTTCGTCGCTTTGACGGACGAGAGTCAGATCCCATCACGACTGGATATATGGCGGTCTATAAATAGATAAGCGTCTACAGGAACGTCATGACTCGAGCCATCAAGCTGTGGTACCTGTTTGATTGCCGACCAGAGGCTTTCCTTTTATTTACATCTTTTTATTTCAACCTTGGAAAGCTCGAAGTCTTTTTAGCCGCAAGCGCTGGTCACGTGAACAGGAAGCCGCAAGTTAGATTTAACGTTAAAAATGGTTGCCGATAACGACTGGAAGAAGCTTTTGATATACGACGATGGGCGAGAAGGAGAAGAAGTAAGGACAAGAAACTCTTTTCAATAATAACATTGCACGCAGACATGCATACCATACTCTCGAAAAAGAACAACAACCACTCAACCAACCAAACCAGTACCAGTCAATTGATTGATCAAGATCAAGTAATTTAACCGACGAATCAGGCAATCAATTAAACGTCTTTTTTTTTGGTCACGGATTCATCCATCCATCAGTCATCGCCTTTCACTTGCGCCATAAATTAAAGAAACAACGGAAGGGAACAAGGTAAGAGATAATTTTACACACGGCGTAACACAGGGGTAGGATAGGGGAGGAGAAATAAAAGCATCAAGATCGAGAAGTAGGTTGGGGGAAAGAAGGTGAGAGGGAGGAAGGGGACTTGGGTGATTAGGGATGGGGGGTTGGTGAGGAACAAAGCGAAGCTGGTAACTCGAGATAATCCACCGGCCAAAAAAGATTTAAAGATATGACGAGATAAGATAGGTTAGGGTGACGGAGCAGTTGAGTCACTTCGGTCCAGGGGAGTGGGAACAGGAAGGATATAAGAGAGGAAGGATATTTGTTATAGGAGAGGAAAAAAGCCCAATATAACGAAAAAGAAATAGAAGGAAGAGAAAACAAACCAGAACCAGCACCAGCACTAGAAACTAGCGCGTTAACGCTTCCCATTAAAACAGAAATAATCCCATATACGACTCGAAGGAAAAAGTAGGGTAGGAAAAGGGAGAAGGGAAAGGGAGAAGGGAAAGGGAGATATAAAACGGAAAGTATAGAGAGGTAGTGGGAAAACCGAGGTAAAAAAAAAAAAGACAACACTCCAGATTCCTGTCCATCCATTCCAGTCAAAGATAGAAATGAGCAAACTAACAAATGAGATGGGAGAAAAAAAAAATAGAACGCCGATTTAAAAACACCCCTTACAGATCGAGTACCGGAAACAGCATCACATGTACAAGACATGGGATAGTGTCAACCTCCCCCAAAAAAAGAGGATAAGAATAAAACGGAGTTAGGACCAAGCCTGGATGGTCTTTTTTGTTCTCTTTCATTCACTTCATGTGGGATATATAGACGGAGGAATAAAGAGAGAGGCGGAGGGTTAAAGCAGGACGGACAAGGGTTAACCACGATCAAGGAGTCGTGGATCTCGGGAACTCAGATCCTGAATGGCATTTGACTTTGCGCCGTTGCTTGTGGAGGGAGAGTCGGTATGAGATGGTGGAAACAGGGTTGAAGGGGATTGCGGAGAGTCCTTCATTATAATGTCCGTTGAAGCGGGTGGATTCTGACCGAGGCCATTTGTTTGAGTCTGGGTCTCCGCAAACTTGGTGAAGGGCAACTGTGTTGTGGGACTTGGATCTGCACTACCCGTTGAAGCCGCGGGACTTGTACTGTTGGGCAGAAATGGGTTGGGAGCCTTTTCTGTGGTTGGGGTTGTCAGAGTCCCGCGACGACTCATGTAGTCATTCAAACTTAGCTTCTTCTTCACGGGGCTTGGAGCAGTGAGACTTGACGTGGGCGTTAGAGTAGGAGTAGCAGCCGCAGGTTGGCCAGGACTGGTGGTCTCCAACTTGGACGACTGAGAAGGTTTTGTGACGGCGATGGGAGGAGCAGGCTTGGATGCTGAGTCCGGCGAACCCACACTGTCCGTTGGAGGAGGGAGTTGCGGAGGAAGGGGTATTCGCATATCCGGCTTCCCTGGAATCTTGCGAGGAGTAGGCAAGTTGTGTGCGACAGTCGAAGGGAGGTGGAAGAGAGGGCAAGGAGGTGGCGAGGACAGCGAAACAGAGGAGGTAGTTGTAGGACTGGCCGAGCTGACCGTAGCATTGGGAGGTGTCATCGAAGAGTCCGCGTCTTTCATCTCAATGTCCGATGCATGCTTTGGTGAAGGGGCTAGCCTTGAGTTCACTGGCGTTGACGGAGGGAGCATGGTGCCCGCACTGGCGGTTTCTGAAGAATCTAGACTGGGTATACTATCTAACCGGCCATCTTCTTCCATCTTTATGCGATCTTCGAGACATCGTCGCAGCAGTCGTTGCGAAAGAGTCATGAACCGTGGAGCAGGGAACGGTTTTGGTGGAACGTATTGAGGGTCATTCTCATCGGGATCAGTCTGGATAGAACGGTCAATGTAGACTGGTCTGCTCAACGGCGACACTACACGAGGTGTGCTGGCGGCAGAGGTCTTTGGAGGAGTGAAATGGCCATCTCGACGTTGAGACGCAGACTCAGGAGACATCTTGGCTGGCGAGTGAGATGACCTGCGCGAGTTGGGTATGTCAAGATGCGGAGGCTTCGCTGACTTCTAGAAAGACGATTAATTAGTATTATAGTCGTTATAAGATCAACAGTCAAAGGGATCTGGAGACAAAGAAGACTAGGCGGGGACATACCGATAGATTAGGGCTCTGACCACGCGGAGGATGAACCCGTTTCTTCTTCTTGGGATGTTGCTGATCATGTTCGAGTTGCTCAAACTTCTTCTCTGCAGCTGCTATCTTCCGCTTCTCACGAGCCGACAGCTCCCCGTTATCACGTCCAAGAGCACCGGGAGTTAGATCTCTGTTGGAATGGTGATCCTTGAGGGAGCCAGACGTTGATCGTGCATCAGCATGGTCATCCTCATCTTCTTTGCGAACAATCTCGCTGCCTGACCGACTGTGGGCGGCAACGTATCCCGAGCTATCAGGTGAAGCAGCGGTTTTTGTCTTGGCCTTCTTCCTGCGTCCGTTCGCCTGCTTTGTGTTGGACTCCAGCAGCGACTTTGGCTTCATGCGGCAGTCAATATTTGCCAGGAGACATGGTTTTACAGAATCGTCACAGGCGCAGCCACCAAAATGGGCAAGAACGTTACTTATTGAGATGGCAGCCGCATCTGGTGACCCATCCGGCAACCCTTCTTCCTTGACCAGGCCGTTGGAGGGAAACATCTTGGGATCGAGATACCAGGTGGTCGATATCTCGGTGTCCATGGGGATATCCTGGTTTGCGACGAAGCAGAAATGGTACTCTACCTGGTTTGTGATGTAGGTTCGCATTGTGACGTTTGGACGACAAGACCGGCGGATGTACCGGAGTACAGTGCCTTCTTCCCTGCTGTCGATGTATATTGGTAGCTGAGGGTGGAAAAAGACGAACGGTTCAGGGTGGCGAAGTTCCTGCCACCTACTGTCCGGGTCATGACAGTAGTCTCTGAAGTGGCCAACTTTACCTCTGACCTCGCCTACGATCTCGTCTTTGCGCACGTTGCTCTGTACCTTGAGACACTGCCAGGTTGGGTGCCTGCCGTCGATTTCGACATGATTGTCGACAATGGTCTGCTTTGTGAGAGGTGGCCAGGTTGAAGGATCGAGCGGCTGATCGGTGTGATTGAAGACTTCTTTGGCGCTACGACCGTTTGCAACCTGAGCAAGCGCAAGAGGGTCCTTTACCCACGAAGCCAGGTCGTTGGTGAGACCGATGGTACGGAAAAGGTTCCCTTGCATGTCGAGGCTGGCATTGTCGTTGTCGTAGAGATGAAGAAACTCGGGAGAGTAGAGCGGAATCTGGGGGAAAGAAGAGCCTGGGGACTTGCCGTTGATATTGTTTCCACGCTTACGAGAGTCACCACCACCGACAGAGCTTATAGAGTTAGAAGAGCGGTGGGCTCCTCGTTGCTTCTTTGTCTGTTGAAGTTGTTGGCCTTGGTGGTGATGGTGACCGTTCTCTTTCGAGGCCGTGGAGCCGGCTCGTTCGTGCGAAGACCATCCGTTACGCTGGTCGCCACCGGCACCGGCACCACCGACGCCAGAGGGGGAGCCGATATCCTTTGGCTTTTTCTTCTGGCTCTTGGAGCCGGAACGACGACTTTTCCTCTGTTCGTCGGTGGCATTGCTGTTGGAGTCGTTCTGCTCCCGCAGCTTGCGCTGGCGCTCGGTGGCCCGCTTGCCGTCGAGGTGCCTGGGCTCGCAGTCGACGCAGTTGTGGATGTCTGGCACATTCTTCTTGTCGATGTAGTAGCAGGCGATGTGTTGCCAGGTATCGCAGCGTTCGCACAGGACGGTGCTGCCGTCGTCGTCCTCGAAGGAGCAGATGCACTTGATGGTGTAGGGCTCATCTTCTTCGGCTTCGTGGGTCGAACCAGTTCCGTTGGCGACCGGGGAGGGTAAGGGGGAGGTGGTGGCCGGAAACGGAAACGGATTCGCCGTTGAATGTGCGTGAGCAGTCGAGGAGGTATCTGTCATAATCTGACAACATACCTCCTCCGAGGTTCAACGATGGGGTGATGAAAGGGAGCCTCGACGCCAGCGAGGGGACATATAGAGAGGAGAAGCGCTTGAATCTTTTCTCCTTTTTTTTTTCTCAGCTTTTTGCTCTCTCTGATCCTTTTTGTTGATATTTTTCTTGACACTTTTGTCGTGAAGACGCAGCTGAGGAGGTTTGATGGCCCAGGGGGATCAGGTCAAGGTCATCACGGTCACCGCTGGCTCAATCGCAATCCACACCAAACGTGGACGGGAGGCGATCGCCACGAGATGTATATACTGGCCGGCTCAGAGGCAACCGGCACGCTCGATAGAGACGATGCTGCCGATGGCCGTCGGGTGCTGGGTGGTCGACGGTCGTCCTTTTTTTCCGTCTGTCGTCTGCCGTCCCCTCTGGCGGTCCTGTTTCGTGTTCAAGGGTCGTGAGTCGTGAGGCGACAGCGCAAAACCTGGTCTTTACGCAGGTCGCACCGGCTGCTGATAGACTGAGGATGGA